CCTTAACTTCATTTCACGTGACTTTGCATTTGCGCACATCTATTTCAGTGCTTTTTTCCATACCTTCGTTTCCATTAACCTCTTTCATTTTGTTTGAATAATACTTCATTTGATAGCGCAACAATCTCCATTCACGTTTGAATTCATTTGAATATAATCAATTGAAAGAACTTCCAACGCAGCAGAACTACATATCATTTTCACAACCAGATCGCTACTGACACAGTGCACCAAAGATGGCCACATCAATATAAGTATACAAATTCATCCTCTCATGTGGAGCTAATTATGTAGGTCGAACTCGGCGGAATTTATCTTTACGCGCTCAATAACATATTTCCGTTTGACTTGGAAAAAGTGTAACCAAATAAAATAACGGTGGAAACTATATCAGAATAGATGAGTCATTTAAAGTCGTATATCGAGTGCCAAACAATCTGCCTAAAAGCACAGGATTACATTTCTTAGCTGTAGCAGAAGCTACGCAGATTTATAAGAAAAAGCTGGACCTTTGTGTACAAAAGAAGTATATTCATCCTCTTCGTTTGCCCTGGCCTACTATAAGGTCGGCATGGACATAATCATCCATATTTCCATGTCATAATATCGATTTATTATTCCTTTTCACCTAGTTTACTTTACCTTATTATTACCTTTGTTATGTGTCAACCTTTACACTAAGCTTATTATGTCTCTAAGATTTTATTAAAGGTTAACAACCTGATCTACTTATTTTTTCACTACACTTGATATCGCTCAGCCCTTGAACTTACATTCACTGTTCCGCGATTTTCGGTATTTGTTTGTAGTAATCATTTCCCTAGCATACCATTAAATTACCCCTCAACCCCCTCCATTGGAACTTATATTATGTCCAACTATAAATGCATTTGTCTACCTCCAATGTATCTGTTCACACTTTTATCTTATGTTCTGGATGACTACACACTTAACATGTGTTCATTTGACAGTATTAAATAACGAACTATCACTCCATATTATAATTGTACCCCACTACAGGTTTACGTATGATTTTCACATGCCTCAATTGACCATTTGTATTATTCATGGAAAATTACCATTGTAACATATAGAAAATCAAAACAAGTGATTCAGTGAAGAGACTCTTTTCAACGAATTTATTATCAAGCTGTACAATCGTATATATATGGTTTTTAAGAAGTTATATCCGGTGAGGGAATTGAATCGTAGGTGTGAATGCATAAAATAATAATAGTAGTATGAAATGCAATTAAAATTAAAATGTTTGTGATTATAGTCACAGTTAAATGTCGAGTGGCAAAACAATTTATGTCATATATAGAATAATTCACAGGATGGATAGAACTTGAAAAAGGGTGTGCAATTGTAGGATTAGTAGACAAATCGAAAAGATAAAAACGTTACGTAATATTGTGTGAAATTTGATAACATAGAATTTAGCGTTGTAAAACAGAATTGATTTAGAATGGCAAGTGGAACAAGTGAAATAATACCGGGGACAGTTCCAAGTGAGAATAGTAATAGTAACAATTGACGTAATAAAGGGAGAGTATACAAATTGAATAGACAAAATGAAAAAAAATTGGTAGAGCCAAAATATGATTAGGGATTATCATACTTCACCATAGAGGGATTAAGACAATGAAAGTTGGAGGATTTGAACGAACTTTTTCTGCATAAAGATTTCTGGCTTTTCTGTTTCGAAAGCCAAAGCTTCAGCAATACTGCTGAGTCGGGTACGTAATGATTTCTGTAATCACTACGTAATCCCTCTATGGTAAAGTATGATAATCCCTAATCATATTTTGGCTCTACCAATTTTTTTTCATTTTGTCTATTCAATTTGTATACTCTCCCTTTATTATGTCAATTGTTACTATTACTATTCTCACTTTGAACTGTCCCCGGTATTATTTCACTTGTTCCACTTGTCATTCTAAATCAATTCTGTTTTACAACGTTAAATTCTATGTTATCAAATTTCACACAATATTACGTAACGTTTTTATTTTTTCGATTTGTCTACTAATCCTATAATTGCACACCCTTTTTCAAGTTCTATCCATCCTATGAATTATTCTATATATGACATAAATTGTTTTGCCACTTGACATTTAACTGTGACTATAATCACAAACATTTTAATTTTAATTGCATTTCATACTACTATTATTATTTTATGCATTCACACCTACGATTCAATTCCCTCACCGGATATAACTTCTTAAAAACCATATATATACGATTGTACAGCTTGATAATAAATTCGTTGAAAAGAGTCTCTTCACTGAATCACTTGTTTTGATTTCCATTTGTATTATCGCGAAATATGACCATCAGGAAAAAGTTTTTTTTTCCATTCAGTGAAGAAAAATCTGTTTGTTTGCAACGACTTCAATCTCAAGCTGTGCAGTCATATTATATGTAACGCAAAAGTGGCACTAGCAATTGCTCAGTCAATATACATATGATAAGAATAAAGACGATTGAATAATATTCATCGTACTCTTAATTTTTCGGACAACACTTGACCTACAATTTTAAAATCCTAATACCAGTTCACTTATTTGATGATTAAAACTTAGTAATTCATCCACTTCAACTCTACCGCCTTAGTACATTATTTTAATTACCTTTATTCTTATCAAATGGACATTTGTACTATACTTTTCATGTGTATATAATAGTAGAGCCTGAGTAAGAATTCGTCGGAAACAATTGTTCGCTCAAAATCATCCTGTTTTGATTATATTGTTGTTCAGAGGTGTTTCAAAATAGTTAAAAATCTCAAAAAGGGAAGATTTTCGGGGGAATTAACACTCTGTTTGTATACAGTGGTGGATGGATTTCAGTGTAAAGGAAATGTATTCATTCTTGAGCAGCTTGGAAGAATCGTATCCCTCACATGCCTGAACCACTTAGAAATTAAGGATTTGCAGTGATTAAGAATAGTTATCAAACATTGTCTTTGAAGTGTCATATTATTAAGAATCCCAAAGTGAGGTGTATATATTAAATTTAGATTCTAATTGAGTGAATTATAAACCCTATGCACCTTGAGAGTGAAATAGCAAAGATCTAAATGGTTTTATGGAGGATTTCATCATGAGCTGACATCAGTTAGAGAACCACTTGAAAACCTGGGAGTACTGGACAGCTGTTTCGTCCTAGTTTGGGACTCTTCATCAGTACGCGTCCACCACGATTCGAACCCAGGACCTTCTGGTTACAAGGCGAGCTCGTAGACCATTGAGCCACTGGGACCAGATCCAATGGACAGCCCATGAATTCTAACTTCTGCCAATTCACGACATACCGTGACCATTTCGCAATGTCTTCTTAGATGAGTTACTGCCTCATCTTCAACCTGCTGTACCAGTGGGCGCGTACTAATGATGAGTCCCAAACTAGGACGAAACAGCTGACCAGTACTCCCAGGTTTTCCAATGGTTCTCTAACTGATGTCAGCTCATGATGAAATCCTCCATGCAATTAAACAAAATTCCCACCAAACCGATACTTGAATATTTTAAATGGTTTTAGATACTTTCATATGGATGTTCACCGAAAAAAACTAAGACAGTTGGGGCTTAAAGGTTCCCAGTTCAGGAGTAGCGCCAATCTAAGCTACAGAGGTAAACCCGTTCTTCACTTCACATTTTACACATCTCATTATACTTGAAAATCTACTCATTATCATTTATTATCTTGCCTTACTTTTATTTCCAGGTTTAAAAAATAGTGACACTGCGCATTTATTTGTTTACTGGGTAAATCACATAATGTAACAGTATTATGGATTGAATGACGAAGTTTTGAACACAATTTGTTGTCCATAATAACACCACTTGTAATTCCACAGTATCCAAGTGTTACACATTTGTTAACATCACATGCAGCTTCACAGTTTTCTTCCTTCATTCTCATTTGTTGTAGGGGTAGTAGAATTTTCAAGATGTGCGGGACAAGTGTTAAATCATTCTTATTGTACATACTCTCAGTTGATTCGATAAATAAATTTTCAGTAATCACTCTTCCCCTTAATCCAATCACACTAAATTTTAGGAGTGTCACCCTGTAAACTTTTATTGTATGGTTGTATATGTGCGTGTATAATGATACAGCTAAGCCTTTTTCAATATTTTAATCTTATGAGGGTCAACTAATGTAGATTTTGCTAGGTTCTTGTGCTCCGATAATTTAATTAATTCTGTCCTACTACTCTGTCCAATGGCATTTAAACTTACAATCTTTGCTTTCTACTACCCCTGTGATAAACAGGAAACAATAACGAGAACTGTGAACTCAAGTTTTAAAGTTGTTTGGTTATAAATAATGTGATTACCAACAGTCAACTGTGTTAGAAATGTCATCCATCAAATACTGCTGTTTCCGTGTGTATTATATGTACAATAAACGAATAAATATGGCCTCCTGAGTGGGGTCCCAGTAGATGAATGGCGTACGATCTACCTTTATAACCGAAGGTCCTTGGTTCGTAATCCAGAGAGTATGTGCTACCGATGAGTCCCAAGGTAAGACGAAACAGCTGTCTAGTACTCCCGGATTTTCAGTGGTTCTCTCACTGGTACCAATCCATGAACGAACTTGAAACAAATGAAATCTCTACAAACAAACTCATGAAACCCAATATAGAAATATACATTACCAAAGTACCCAAGTTTTGCATATACATTACAAGAAGTGACATTATTACTATTATTATTTGAATTTTATATATTTTTTCTTTCTCGGTTCAGTCGGTGTAGACGACGAATTGGAGCAAAATAGATTTCTTAAGAGTGGTTGCATTTTCCAAGTGTATCACAAAGTGACTAGTTTCAAACACGCTCAACTCAGTGTTTTAAGAGTAATAAAATCATGGATAGTCTTAAGATTGATGGTATTATAATTTAAATGCACGATATAAAAATGCTTTATAGAATAAAATAAGTTCTTCAATTTTATTTTAACATTTCAATAAATTTAATTCTTACCGTTTGGTGTATAAAAGGCGATGATAGATGAATACGGTGATCTCCCATTTTGATTTCTTGCAATAATTCGAACAAAATATAGTGTATTCGGCTGCATTCTTAATAAGCCAGCCTCTGTACTTTTTCCATTTACTATTCTTTCTATCCATTTCCCTTTAGACTGTTTTGAGTTAGTAGTTAAATATAAAACTGACCCAAGAATTCTTCCGTTTGGATAACTCGGTGGATCCCATTTAATTAACATTGTTACAGCAAGTCGTGAACTGGGACTGTCTTTTTCATGAGTTCTGCTGGCATGCACTAAAGTTGAAGAATCTTCAAGTTCAGAAGAAATTGTTGTAGAAGCAGTAGAAGTGCTGGCTGATGAGAAGTCTAGTAGCTGAAGTTTAGTATGCAATCGATTGTTTAGCTTTAATTTTGTCAATCGAATGTTTGAGGGGGCATCCTTTGGACCTTCAAAGGAAAGAAATCAGCTATTAATTACTACAGGAACGTATACGCTGAGCAGACATTGCCTAATATTCTCCACAACCCAAGAAAATGAGATCTCTTAATTAAAAAGTGATACAAATGGTCGATGAATCATGAAAAGTAAGAAAAAGGTATCCGAAATAGACAATTATATGGCACAAGAATGATTTGAGAAGTTGTAGACTACGTAAACAGAAGTCATTCTGATGCGTGAATCCCCGTTTTATGAAAAAATGACGATGAACGTACGTGCATCATTTTGCAGCATACTAGACATTACGGCCATCCAAGTATAACCAATTTTCGAGAAGATTATAAAAAACCAAACAAGGTTAAGTTACTGAGTTCTAGAATTCTGTGTCATTCGTATATTACACTAGATTATTAATTCATATTACAGGCTGTCAGTTTCAATACTGATAGATAAAAGATTGTCAACAGATTCATCTGGTTGATTGTGAAGGGAAGGAATTGGAAGTGACAACGTAGAAAACTAACTTTCTTTCAATTAGTCAAAGGTGATTGGAGGAGTACCCACCTATATTTTTCTTATTCATGAGAGTTACTACAGAGTGAACCACATTATTTAGACAAACAGCTACGAAATATATAAAAACCAACTAAGGGTTCCAACTGGAAGATATGCAACCGAAAAGCAACAAGTTGTCAGAAGAAGCATCAAAGATAGGACTTCAGGTGAACATGGATAAAACAGAGGTGATGAAAATTCCTAGGCAACACAACCAACAGCAACAACAACAAACAGACAACAATCAGCATAAATGGAAGGAACCTGAAAGAAACAACCTATTTTACCTACCTTGAAAGCATCGTTTCAACTAGAGGCGAACGGAACTGACGAGGATATCAAAGCAAGAATCGGAAAAGCAAGACAAGCTTTCACTACTCTCAAGTCAGTCTGTGTGGAGGTCAACAACACTCAGCATCAAAAATAAGATCCGGATCTTCAACTCCAATGTGAAGTCAGTGCTACCCACCATACGGACCAGAGACTTGCACTGCGCATCATAAAGAGCATCTCAAACAAACTACAGACCTTCATTAACAGCTGTCTTCGCTCAATACTCAAGATCAGATGGCCAGTCATAAAAGATCAGCAACAGAGATCTCTGGCAATGAGCAAACCAACCAGGAACCGATTGTGAAACAAATAAGCAGGAAGAAATGGAGATGGATTGGCCATACTCTGAGGAAACCATCAAGTGACATCACTAGACAAGCCCTTGAGTGGAACTCGAAAGGGAAGCGACGAGTTGGTCGTCCAAGGGTGACTTGGAGGAGGTCATGTGAAGAGGAGATGAAAACGTGTGGCCAGACTTGGAGGTAGGTGAAGACTCTAGCAGAGAACAGAACGCAATGGAGACGCACGGCTGAAGCCCTATGTTCCTGTAGGAATTAAAGGATACAATAATAATATAATAATTAGGGTTCCAAAAAGCAAAACGGGGGAAGTATTCAAGAAAAAACGTACCAGATTTAAACTGAAGGCCAGCATGATGAAATTTGAATGTGCCCTGCTCATTCCTAGAGTAAGAAAATTTACACTCTACTCTGAATAGAATATGACTGGCACCAGACTTAGGTTCTGGTTTTCTTACCAGAAAACGATTACACTCAATGATTATTTGCATACTTAGCATTTTTATTTGAAGTTCCGATCAACATAAAAGTCATTGCCTTATTCGGAATGAATAAGAAAACCAGATTAAAAACAACCAAAAGCAGTTATTGTTGTAGCAGTAAACTAGAATAAGTTAGATGCACATCACAAATGATCGAACAGTAAACCTATAAATACCACTTAGAACACACAGGTCCACATACCAATTTTTTATTCCTTTATGTTCCCAGTCGAACATAGGGCTTCAAGCTAGAGCTTTGAAGTTTTGGTGGTGTTTATTTTTACAACCGGGGAGGGGGTGGATTGCTAGCCTTATGCACAAACTTCCCTCTTTTCCGGCCACCCTTCCGACTTAGCGGGTTTTAAGAGTGCGTCGACCGGGCTTCCAAACCCTGACCACATGTGCGGTTGGAGAGCATTCTACGGATGAACCATAGACTACTTCGAAGTAAAAGAAGACCTGAGTAGTCCTTTTTCCTCATTCACTTTTAAATTTACAAGTCAGTGTGTTTAACTATTAAATGTGCATCTAGAAATTCCTGTGTTTTGTGAGCAGGCAGTACGACCAACAGTGAACCAGATATTTCTTCTTTCTAAATCAACTTGGTTTCCGTTATGAGAAAAACTTTCTTGGTCACATATCTACATATTGTTCAAGTGACATTTGGATGAAGCACCTCAAAAATATAATGAGAGTGGAATGTATTTGGCAGCTGATTCTCTCTAGACAGTCAGTATAATATCCGATTTCCTGCAAAATTCAGTCATAAACTCAGCTTTTAAATGGAATAGGTTAACATCATGTTTTATAATACTCATAAATTTCCCTTGAAGTATAAAACAAATGAAAGAAAATATATCTATGCAACATGAGTACTCACACTATACAAATGTCATCTAAGTAGACCTGATAACCTTAAATAAAAAGCCAGACGAATTCTAATTAATCTGATTTATGTAATATGTTTTTAGACAAATGTATTCTGTGATATTTATGAAAATAGCTTATTTTAAACGCAGAGTGACACACAAACTTGTTCTCCGAGTGTTGTTTCCCTTTGTTCATTCTACCGCCTATGCGTAATATATATTTTCTGTTAAGATTAAAAGGTCAGTCTAGGTCAGAACGAATTAATAACTTTGTGTAAAGTTGTGGGAAGAAGGTGATTGTTATTTGCATAATCATAGGACACTATTGTTATTTATTTATATATACTTTGTGTAAATAGTTCCCTTTATAAACTTGAATGATAATAAGAACAGAGGTGTATGCTCTCATTTTGTTGTTTAGTTGTATAACTGTCTTGACTATAGTAATAGAAAACAGAATAGACGGCCAAATATGTCTTTTCAATACTATTTTTCTAACATCATGAAGCTCTGAGCAATCCATCGAAATTTAGGCCACAACATCCTAAAACTAATTTTTGGTTTAAGAAGAACTTGTATTAAAGTAACTCACTGGAAACAATTATAACCTAGATCAGTTGAATTTCAAACCGTTATACAATTTTATGAATGCAGCGATCAGTAAGTTTTGGACTATCAGAAGAGATATTTCATTTAATTAAGCAAAACTATCCTGAGTATATCAGCTGAACTGGTAAAACGACGTTTAACAAAGATGAAACTATTGCTGAAGTGATTAAAAGTCTTTTGTCCAAGTGTATCTGTAACAACAGAAGACAAGGGCCAGGCAACAGATCATTTATTAAAGAAATCAACGCATATTTATATATTTTCATATACATTACTATGGATATTTAAGCAAACAAACAGTCTTCCGATTGGTTGTTTCTCACGTAAAGTTAATCTTGCATCTATTTGTGACTGTTTCTTGAATGTCAAATCCTCTATATGTTAACTTCATCCGCCTACGCAAAGTCTGCTGTGGTCGGTTTTGAATCAATATTTGTTCACATTTTCTCACGACAAATCTTGGGAACGTAAATATTGACGCAAATTACTGTCTACCAATTTGGCTAGTAGACAGCTCTCACCACATATCAACCGCTATTTTTATGCCACTACCCTACATTCGGTATTCTCCAGCCAAAATATGATTTGCCAATCCGTCAAGGATAAACTGCCGCTAATTTTCGCCTCTGTATGCATCTGCTCTTTCACCTTCGCCTATGGAGCTGATTACAGTGGAAATTGAGAGCATCCTCTCTGTAAAAGCATAGCTGAATACTGTACAGTTTGGTTGATGAAAGGCGAGCATTAGTTAACGAATTTTTCAAATTGTTAACACTTTCTGGAGTCAGGCCACTCAACCTTACCTGATTCATCCTGTATAGTTGTCTACAAGGTGTGATCCAGGCGCTCTAAAAGCTTATCTTTCCTCCACTTATTTATAGCGGTAGCTTTAGTTGCACATGGATAAAAACCTATATAATGTATTCAAAAACGTTTTGCTGAGCCTATTTCTTTACCTTGGTCGTAGTAGTGATCCTTTTTATTTTGTGCTAGCTTACCACTTGGATTCATTCCACTTCACTTCATCTTCGCCCTTTTTATTGTTACCGTCATCACACCTATAAATTCTCAGACAATACTTGACAAACACTTAAAATCTTAATGCCATTTCACTTATTTAACGGTCTTTAAAAGTTGTGCATTTCATTCACCTTAACTCACATTTGATGTTAATTATCTTTATTCTTATTCTTATTACTTTTGTTTCCTTTAATTCCTTGAGGAACATAGGGCTCCAACCGCACATCTCCATTACGTTCGGTTCTCTACCGACGTTATCACCAGGCTCCATGTCTGCCAACATGCTTTCATCTCCCCTTCACATGACCTCCTCCATGTCACCCTCGCACTGACGACCAATTAGCCGTTTCCCATTAGGGTTCCACTCGAGCGATGACCTAGCGTGTGATGTCACTCGATGGTTTTCTCAGACTATGGCCAATCTACCTCCATTTCTTCCTGCATATTTGTTGCACAATTGTTTCCTTGTTGGCCCATATGCAAATTGACTGAGCAATTGTTACTGCCACCCAAAGCGTTTTTCTGTAGCATAAATATGACTATACCATTTCAAAATGAAGTCTTCGAAAAGATGGATTTCTTCTTTGTGCTCTGCTATTCCTTATACACAAATAACATTCAAGTACTTCAGTTCTAGTCCTATCATAACGTTTTCATCCTTAGATTTGTGTTAATTTACTTTCATATATATTTGAAAATCTGTCAAGAGAACAACTAAAATATGGGTGGTCGTATATTTCTATCGGCATGTAATGATGGCAAATAAGATTGAAGCAGTAAAGGTGTATTATTTCCATAACAAAAGGACTCTTATGAATATGAGACGGCACGCTGTCATCTGAAAAGTGAACAGGACACCAATTATTTGCCATTGCTGGTGAAACTAAGGCAGTATTTGTTGCAGGTTTATAAGGCAAACAGGATGTCTAAGTTTCGCTAAGAACCGAAATGTCTTTTACTAAATGTGGGACAAAATGTATTTTCACCTGTTACAATGTTACAAGATAACACTATATAATTAATGACAAACATACAAAATTCTGTTAATTGGAGTTGAAACTAATCAAAATTGTATTAGTTTAGGCAAAATTCACTTCTGGCATCTACAGGTTTTCAGTTAGATATTATTCATCTATGAACAGAACTCAGGAATGTGCAAAAACTAAAGGGGCAATTAATAAAAGTCATGTAAAACTCTTCGCTTGTCTTCACTGACAAACAGACAACAGTGTGTCAGCGATGGCGCAAAGATCTTCGGAGTAATTTGTCTAGGTTGCAATCTACTTAGCATATTCAAGACAAAAACTAACTGAAGCACTCTGAATCTGCATGTTTGCTTTACTCATTATGAAACAAATAAATTCTATCAAAATATTTATTGTAAGTTGTAGATTAAACATTAATTTCAGTAAAAAGTTTGGGCATTGTGGGAAAAATCAAATTAATTATAATTATATTTGAGTAGCACACACACAACGATAAGTTTTTTGTTTTGGTAATATTTTGAGCAAAATTACTGTCCGTCATCATACCAACTGTTGGAACTGTTTTCTTGATTCAACTCCAAAACTTGGTGTGATGACGGGTAGTAATTTTGCTCGAAATATTACCAGAACAAAAAGCGTATCACTGTGTGTTAAATATTGAAATATAATCATAGTTACTTTGCACAGTAACCAGTTTCATATATCTAATCCTTAGTGATGCTGATTGAATTCTATAAGTCATCCTGGGAGACTAGCCATCGTGGTGAACATCTTGAATTAAAGTTACATGACTGAAAGTAGATGTAATTTTATTTCTTATTGATACTCGTCATTATGGAGCATCTACCGCCGTGAAAAATTGATTGCTGCTCCCTGTGACTGCAGCGCTGAATTCGAACATTGGAGGGAACATAATTACTAATAGAGAAGATTTGTAGCTCAGGTGGATGATTTGCAATTAATAGTGTTCTCTGAGCTGGTTGGTTTAGTTGCGAAGCTTTCGTCGTCCTTCTGAACAACATCCCCTTTCAGCGCCATATTTAGCACAAAGTGAAATGATTTAAATTTCTTCATGAGTGATATATTTGCGTCTCCTGGTAACTATCTTTACATATGTGTTGACCATTTTCTATTGACTTGGATTTTAAACTTTTTGGTCACCTGAATTACTTTTTATTAATTGGTATATTTCATCTATATTAACGTGTTTATTAATCGCATTTTCGCTTGAGTACCAGGCTTCTAGCAATTCCCTGACACTTTTAGTGTTTCCTCTGTCTAAGATTTTGACATTATCCCAATCAAATCGATGACCATAGTTGTCTGCATGCATTGATACTAACGAATACATATCATGTCTTTTCACAGCTGATTTGTGTTCTTGGATTCTGATTTGAAGGGGACGCCCACTTCGGCCGATGTAATGCCTGTTACAGTTCATACAATTTATTTTGTAAATGGCATTAATTTTATTTCCTTTTCCTGTTGGATCTTTTGGTTTGCATAATATCGAATTAAGCGATTTTACTGGCTTGTGTGCTATATCTATATCAAACGGTTTCAGTATTCTAGCTGTTATTTCAGAGATATTTCTCATGCATGGTAGAATGAATTTTCTTTTGGAACATAATTACCTTTATACTGATAATCAGGTCTCGGGCTATTTTGCGATTAATTTCAACTATCCAGAGTTTAACCACACTCTTAAGAACTACCGGGTTTCCTGAGAGTAGTAAGTGGAATAATGTTATTCAATATGTTACCAAATAACTAGTGTTAGTTGAAAACTGAGACAATGCTTGTCATTTAACTCTCATTGATGATTAAATTTCTTTAGCGAACATGATAGGAAACCGACACATTCTAATAAATACTTAGACTTTAATTCATCCCACCTAGAATCGGTAAAGGTAGGTTTGATTAAATATCTTTATAATCGAACCATGAGTCTAACTGGTAAGCCAGAAGATTTAAATAATGAAATCAAACAAATAAAATAAATATTAATAGTGAATAACTATCCACTAGAATTTATTCAGAAATATATGAAGAACCATCGAAAAGCTTAGATTAGCGATAAAAACGACGAGAATAATATAGAATTCAAATCTTCTGTAGTACTGCCATATTAAGAAGGAACGTCAGATACCTAACGTAGAATCCTCAATGAGATTGAAATTGAAGTGCCGTTTAAACCAAACGACCTACGCTTTCAGTGATCAACTTTGTAGGCTTAAGGACTCAATAGATCCAATTAAGAAAAATAATATAATTCACCAAATACCATGTGATGACTACGAGGTCAGTTACATAGGTCAGATTAGCAGATCGGGGTTCACTAGATGACTGGAACATAAAAATTTAGCTAGACCTAGAATAATTGACCCTGCTAGGAAGTAACTCAGCCATTATATTGCTTTCATTCCCGTGTAATCACAAAATAAAGTGAGACAGGGTGAGAGTTTTCAAAAGTAATATGGTTAGGTGAAGAGGAAGTTTCTTCCCTGAAGCTTTGTTTATCGATTCAGCACTGCACACTTCCAATCCAAATGACACAGCGCCTATGCCGGAGATATGGAAAGTGGCAACAAACAACAAGGTGAAGTTGGAGAAAAAGACTAAATATACAAGATGAATAGTCAAACTGTGTGACTAAATTGATAAGATTATGCGTAATAATCTATGCTCAAAACGTTATCCAACTGAAATAAGGAATTACATTCTACCACAGTGTCCAGGTTCTACACTTAAATTCGAAACTGAACTTTCTACGTCACCTCTATATTTCACATAATAATAATTAACTCCACTTCACTTAGGAAGTGCATCATTTTCAAAAGCAGTAGATAATCAATTTTTCTTATATTTAGATAACTGTCTAAAGGATAAATATTATTATAGACAACAAAGTCGGTGTGTGAATTGTGTTGTCACAAAAATTTAAACCACTAGGGATTTATCTACATTTCTTCTTGGCGGTGTTTGAAAATTGTTGTTTCCCATCGCTTGTTTCCTTATAATACATTTATTTTGTATTCTGTTATGTTTAGTGTTTGTTGTCTGTGGTTTTCAGAATAATGCCTTTTGGCTTTACTGTGATACGTATACCGATACAAATAAGTTTCAAATAATGACCAGTAGGTTAATGAGATTGCTACAAGCTATGCAAACAAATGTTCAAATAGACATAGTGGTTGAAAATCTAAAGAACAAATAGAAAGCTTACTAATGTTTAACCCTAGGAGAAGTAGTCAGCGTAAGTTTCAAAGATGTACTAAAAAATTGAAATTCTTTTCCTTTCCCAGTGGAACATAGGGCTTCAAGTTAGAGGCTTGAAGTTCCTCAGTGGTATTTATTTTTACAGAATGGGGTTGCTAACCTCATGCCCACCCTTCCTTCCTTACCAGTCCTATTAGTGATATAGCAAGGTGAAGGAGTTCGTCGGCCGGCAATCGAACCCGAACATCCTACATGTTTGGCGAGCATTCTTCCGCTGTGCCACCGACACACTACTGCAAAGAACAGATACTGCACATGGTCTTAGCTGAGAGAGCCGTGAAGCCCATATATCTACTTATATATGATCATTATTTCTGAAAAAAGGAATTTTCAATAACCATTTTTATAATCCAAATTCCCTTGAATTTATTGGTTTTTTTTATCTTAGTCAAAAGGTTACAGAAAGGTAGTAAATAAAAAATACATTTCTTAGTAAACAATTTGGATAACATCTTACTTCTACCAAAGGTCTCAAATCCTTGAACCATGCTCCAAAAATAAGTCTTTGCTGTCCTTTGATGTTTATCTATATCATGTCTGTCTATTGTCATTTCATTATTCAGCATACGAACACCAAACTCGTATTGAGTTGCAGGCTTGAGATTGCGGAGAGTTAAATCGAAATTTTCCGCCTGAAACTGATTCGGTGATAAGGTCATATTGATCAATTTCATTTCATGATTTTTGTCAACCGACTGTAGTGTCGAAGATTTCTCACCAATTGAAATTGAATCTTCCAACTCATTGTTATATTCATCTTGACTGCTGGATTTTACTTGATAATACTTCACTTGAAATCCACTAATTGACATTTTAACAGACTGTGGAATATTAGGCATTTCCCAACCTATACGTGCCCAAGTAGAACCTAATTGTCGGACAACTAAATTGACAGGTATCAGTAAACCGTGATTTGTGGATTTAGTCGCTTGAAGAAAAAGAAATTGAAGAGAATGACAACACGGTGTATAATACCATTATAAACAGAGTGCACAGTTTTACTATGTGGTTTACTAAATACTCATTCTTACTTTACGTTACGTAATATGACATGATTTAGAAGCGTTTTAGAAAGGGGAGAAGCATCTTCAACCGCTAACGCTTCCTTCAGTCACTGGTGGTGATCACTTTAAATTAGTAATACAATAAAACGCTTTATAAAAGATTTTGCACGTTTTAATCGTAAACATTTTGTCGGTTCATATTCCTTAATAGTTACAGCTTTATTCTGAACAGTGTTAATGTAATGTACAGAGCTTTCAGCTATAATCACTGAATGTTAGTTCCCCTTTGTCCAGGGTCTTCAATTCAAATAGTAAATGACAGTAAGTCGCATGGCATACTTCTGTCTGACTCGAAGCGAAAATCAGTCCCTCATGATAATTCTTCTCTCATACCGTCAAGAAATGCACAACATTTGGTTGAGAGTGAATTGGAAAAGGTGTAGGAGTACATTTATTGACCTGAGAGCATAGTAAGAGCTGAATAATTAATGACTGAAGTTAATCAATCTTATTTTTTTTCAGGCAGTGGCAGTTTGTACTAACAGTCTCATGTACAACTATATCATGTGTTGGGATAGACTATGAATCAAGATTTTGCGGATTTTTCTCGAATTTAGCGGAAACTTGTGAATCAGCATGTTGTAGAAACTTAAAGTAGTAGTCACGAGAGTCGAAAACACCATTTGAGGACATATTTTAACACATGAAAACACAGTGAACAAAAGAAATTAAATGGAAAATAATTATGGAGTATTCTGTTAGCCTAAGGTTCAAACAGACAACAGTCCAAATTATGAATGAACTTGAAATCAATCAAATTCCTGCGAATTAACACTCAAACATGATCTAGTGCTTACTACTGGCTGACTACAAGAATAAGCTGCTTGTAATCGTTGTGAGAATTCGTGGCCATAAAGGTCCACCAAGGTGGATTTGAAGATAAATGCTCTCCAGTGACATCGAAAATTGCCAAATTTATAATTCATGGGCCATTAAAATCTGATCTAGTGGCTGGATGGACAATAGGCTGGCCTTGAAACCTGAGGGTCATTTGTTCGACATCCGATGTGGTCATGTTTGCCCACAACTGCTGAGGTGCCCACGAAGACGAGACAGCTGTCCAGTACTCTCTGGTTTTTGATAAATCTCTAACAGAATTCTGTTCGTTATCAAGTTGCAAATTAAAGAAATACTGACAAACCAACACTTGATCATCAAACAGATTTTCAATGAGGTAAATGAAAGTATGGATTTATCACATTAGTTTTCTTGTCTCCAGTATCAACAACAACAACTGCTGAAGCGGAAAAATGAAATACTGTAGTTTCAAAATCTACTTGCGATCAGTTTCCTGCAAGTTGAGTCTTAGTAAATTTACTACTGAGATATACCAGTAGATTTTGAAGGCTTCGTTCTAGTCATAATAACAAAGAATAATATCAGTTTATTATCTTTTCAGGATATAAGCAACAATCTAGACAACTCCAAAAAAGAAATAAAATGCTGTTCCCAATCAAATTACTGAAAAGAGAAAAAAGAGATCTGCTCAAGCCATGTTTATTCACTCATGCACTATTCTATTATGTTAACATACCCAATGCAAACCTGTGTCAGAACAAAAGTTTAGGTTTGTTAATCTTAATTTTCCTTTTAGTACCTAAGGGTTGCTCACTCACGCCCATGAGTGAATTGTATGTATTTATACTTAATAAGGCCTGACATTATAAGACATGTTGCTAAGCCATTGTGGGTGAGCTACAGTTAGAACACATTTGAATGGACACTGTGGGCTTGGTAACTAGTGTCTTGTGTCTAGTCCTATTTAGTGCTGAGTGAATTCTACCAGTCAGTTTACAATCACTTCGTCAATCTGGGAGACTCAAAATCGTGCACCATCCTCTGAATTACCGTTAGTTGATCTGAGAAGGTTAGCGGGAAGCCATGGACTTAGGTTTAGTGTTCACTGACACTCACTAACAGAGCGTAACTGTAGCCTTCAGTCAGATAACGCTTCCTGTAACTGCAGCACCGAAGCAAGATCATTACCTTCAGGGTTGCCTCCTTCAAGAGTACCAGTATGCACAAAACCAAGGTCTAAGTCTTCACGCCAACTGTCTCCCACCATTTAACAATAATTTCAACATATTCATCTGTATTTATTTGCATAGCATGGGAATATACCATAAGATGTTAAATCTAGGACTTAATCGGTAATTAGTTTTACAATATGATAAACCTCTCACGCGTGGATGCTCTGTGCATACTAATGGAAGAATGACCCCTGATAAAGGCAATAACACTCTGGAGGTAATGTCTGGTCTTTGACAGACACTCAGAACTTTAAGACTAAGTCAATAAACTTTCGATGAAATATTAATCAACTGACCTAAGAAAGATAGTTAAAAGACGACCATAGGTAGAACCAATTTATAAATATAATTTGCTGAATTAACAATAGACGAATTATACCTACTTGTTGAAGAATCTTGAGTCATGACAACAGTATAAGCTGCAGGACCATTTCCACCTTCAGTGACGGATATCACACGAATATAATAAATGGTTCCGGGTCCTATAGAAAGAAACAACCATAAAGAAAATAAATAGCATTTGAGCGTTTAAACTTTAGTTTGTTAAAAATAAACAGTTATTTGTGTAATAAATCACCGCTTTGGTTAAACGAATGTGATCCGTCCCTGAAGTGTTATTGATCTGGTGAATTTAAGTTGAATTATCATGAAAATGACTACATGTCATCAAGAGTTTCTTCATAAGATTGTCACGGATAGGCTGATTTTGAGAAATTTAAATTGATGCATAAAATCTTGAGAAATTAATGATTGAGTGTTAGTTATTTGAATTTTGATAGACTCAACAGATGACTTCGTTCAAAAACAAGTAACAGTAGATCGCTAAGTGAACACATAAGTAATTTCGTCTCAAAACACATAGTACATAGGCGGTATAAAAAAGAATATCATGAAAAATGAAACTGAATGAAAAGGTCAAGACTACAGATTTAGAGGAATGATCCTAAGTCTGACCGAAATTAAATAATCATTTATTGTTTGGGCACTGGTTATTAATTAGTGTAATGTGCCTAGTGCTTTCTTTGGTTCAGAGTGAATTCTGTCAGTCATGTTGGTAATGTGGCCATCATTTTAGGTGGGCCGGCACCAAGATGAGCTTTGTATTATTGATATCAGATGGTTGGAGGCAATCGGCAGGAAGCCTTGCACCCACATTTCGTGCTAGTTGGCACTCGACATCATGGTTTATCTACAACCCTGAAGGACTCTGTAGGACAGGAGGTCAATCGCGAGCCTCAATAGCTCGGTAGTGACGTCTCTGACTGCAACAATGGGTGACGCGATTTCGTATCTCAGAAGGGACATGACTTCCTTCAAGATTGAGGTTACGCCTTGCTGCCGAGTGCCAACAGGTTAATTGCTTTTCTTTTGTTTACTGACACTGAAAATAGCACCTAGAATACAAGAAAGCAATGCAGTGTTTGCTTATTAATAAAGCATTCAGGACACTCATATTTGGAATTGTAGGAAATGATTACCATGAAAGGTGTTCATGTTAATGGACATTGGTGAGAAATGGTCTAGATTCCTAAGTGGCTAGAAGTAATGTGTTTTCCTTTCTCATTCAACTTCAGCTCAGTTAATAAATTTGCTTCATAAATGCGTTGGAATGACAAAGATTACATTTTTGGTATGTCAGAACTCTATGCAGGAGACTACCAGATTATCAATCAGATGACAGTATTACTTACCATATTTCGGGTGATTGGACTGTTTCGTTATACATCTATATTTTTAATTTTTATTTATTCTATTACGTTCCCAGTGGAACATAGGACTTCAAGCTACAGCTTTGAAGTTTCAGTAGCAATGGTGTTTATTTTTACGGGATGGAGTTGCTAGCCTGACGCTCAACCTTCCCTCCTTATCATTTTTATTACTGGCTTAGCGAGGTAAAGTAGTGCGTCAGCGGCCGAGGATCGAAACGTGCACCACATGCGTGATTGACGAACGTCCTAATCGCTGTGTCACCGACGCACACCAATTACTATCGACAGGAGAAAGCCACTTGTTTTACTTACATGTCCAGGCAGCATCGCTTAAAGTACGTGCACCAAGAATGAGGATATAAAGGGCGGTATACAAAATGTAAGACAGGAATTCATAAATATGGAATCAGTGTTAAAATACTTCTGCCCTGAACATGAGGAATATGATCCAGATTTTCAAGACCAACGTCAAGTCGGTTCTTCTAAATGGGTCATCACTGAAAGCCTTTCCAAAATCCTGCTACACACTTTTACTAGCAGCTGCCTTCTCTAACTCCATAGTGACGACCAGATGATCAGCCAGAAAAGTTAAGCAAACAGCAACTGTTGGACTGTACCAATTAACAGCCTACTGGCGAATAAAACGCAGATGACAGCTGATGGGAAATCATGGAGCTATCTCAAGAAAACTGTGGAAAACAGGATGAAATGGAAAAGTGATGCTAAAGATCTGTATTCCCCTCGGAACCTATGGTTATAATAATAACGATAATAATGCCGCAACGTAAAATACATAAAACCAATTTTCAGTGAATTTTCACTTGGAAAAAATATTTTTGTTATCAGTCAAATAGGTTTTTATTGAAACCAAACCCTAATATCAATTAAGACACATTTTAAAATAGATGCCAATGGTCCTATGATCCGCTGTTTACATAAAGGTAGGCTTCAAAATGTTCGCTGAATATTACATAAGTTCATTTAATAAAAAACACACAATAGTGCGCTGTTAATAACTAGAGGGCGCTGAGGGTACAATTTGTTGCTTACAATCATATAAAAGTGTGTAAACGAATTCTCAGCTTGCTTTGTACAATTTTTTATTCCTTTCTTTTTGTCATTACATTTCTCGGAACTAGCGTTCCTTCATTTCTGTTGTGTGTACTTTTTGTTGACTCTGAAGAGGAGTTGAAAACTACATTACTCATTCCAGGAAGTTATATAGATACATTGGCATGATTATGAACGATACAGTATGCCTTAAAATTACATTTAGTCACTGATAATGTATCACCATGAGTTGTGTTCTACCACAGTCCCTAAATTATACTCTCATTTCAGAAGTTTGGATCACGAATGGCGAAAATACGTAACTTTAAGCAATTTTGTTTTAATCTGATAAATCCACATGTCGGTGATGCACTGCCGTAAAGGTAGACACCTACTAAAATCTCAAATGTAGTCAAGATTTCATGAAATCCTAATTTTAAAACACAGACGCGTAAATAGCTTCTTTAGAAAACACTCGTTAATCTCATGTTAGAACACAATAATCGTTGTATTGTATTATGGCTAACAATGAACAGATGAATTCTTTCATTACAAAACATCCTTATATGAGGGGTATTTAAAATAATGCTATTTGAAAATAATTACAGGTAGTAGAAGTCTTGTGAATTTCATGAAAATAGGATATTTCAGGATATCATCGTAACTGTATTTGCACTAACAAGTGTGGTCAGAGAAGCCAGAGGCCAAATATACATATATATATATTATTCCACTGGGTTCTGAGTGGAACATAGGGCTTCAAAAACACATCTGTACTTTGTTCTATTTTCTGGTGTCCTCTTCTGTTGGGTCCACGATTGACCATAATCTCTCAACTCATCCTTCTCACACGATCTCCTCCATGTTACCGGAGGACGACCCACTTGTCACTTCCGAACTGAATTCCACTAGATGGCCTGGCGCAATGTCATATAAAGGCCCCCCCCCCAACGTTTGCCCCATCCGGCTCCATTTTCTTCTACATATTTGCTGAGAAATAGGGTCTTGGTTGGTTTGTGACCAGAGTTTCTTGTTGCTGATTGTTTCTGGCTGGCCGGGCATTTGATATTCTGTATTGAGCCAGAAAAGGAAGTTGTTGATACAAGTCCGAAACCTGTTAGAAATCCTTTTCCTGACATGCTGGCCAAGTTTCTGACTCGTATAGAAGAGCTGAATGACTTCACATTTGTGTTGAAAATCTGAATCTTTTTCTTTATGTTAGCTGAGTGCAGAAGATTTCCAAACTGCATTGAGGTTGGCGAAGACGTATCTCGCCTTTCCGATTCTGACTGGTTTCGACATCTTCGAACGTGCTGTCACCCATTATTGACACGATACTTCCTAGATAAGTGAAAAGAGTGGCTTCTGTCAAGTCTCTCCCGCTGATAGCGATTGGTGCTGCTGGTTGTTATTGCCATTGTTGTTGGTTGGTCATCTTCATCCAATCCATCCTTTTTATCTTCATCTGTAGTCCTGTATTCGCTGCCAGCCTCTTCAGCTAGTTTGTTGCTTATCGTCTGTTAGTCTTTTAGTTTGTGTAACATTAAACAAGTATCATCACATACCATATCCTGTCTCCTCGACCCCACAGTTTTACGCATAATCACTCCACCACAACTAAGAATATCATCCGTGATAACAGGCAGCCCTGTCTTACTCCTGTATTCACTTCAAACGCCTCGCTGAGGTTTCCGTTGTGGATGATCTGACACGTAGCATTGTCACATAGCCAGCTGTCGAATGAGGTTGATAAAGACTTGGGTACTGCACGTCGTTGTGTTCACATTGTTTCCAAATCACTTCTCCGTCAACAATATCTGGTGAAGGCCTTTTCGAAGTCCATGAAGTCAAGATGGAGGTTTGACTGCCATTCAATGCTATGTTCGATGACGATACGTAGAGCTGCAATTCGATCAGCACATGATTTACCTTTCCTGAAACCAGTTTGTTCCTGTTGGCGGAGTTCTGCATCCAGTGCATCTTTTATTCTCTCCAGGATGATGTGACTTATTACTTTACTTGGTGAGGACAAGAGCATGATTCTACGCCAGTTCTTGCAGAGGCCTAAGTTATCCTTCTTTGGCAGCTTGACAAGGTAGTCTTTCTTCCAACTAGTACGCACCTCCCCTTCCTTCCAAATCTTTTGTAATAATGGCGTGAGAACATCTGCCGGAGTCTTTGGATCCGTTTACAGTGCTTCGGCTTCAGATTCTGGCCCGGCAGGACTCCAGTAGCTTGATCACATTCAGAACATCTGCTTTCGTTGAAGGATTGATGTCCACTGGCAGGCAGGTCTGTGTGCTGTTGGTAGTATTTGTGGGTGATTTGCAGGCGACAGTCGATTCAGGAGTCCTTTGAAGTCATGAGTCTATGGTTTTATATCTTCCTTCTCCTTGATAATTAGGTTTCCTGGAACATCTCTTATTGATTTCATCATCTCGTTTGATCTATCCCCGGACCCAGTTATCTGACAAAATGTCCTGGGGTCTCTTGTAACTGCAACCCACACATTCTGCTTCAGTCGCCGACCAGTATCTCATAGAATTGTCTTTTTTCTTTCCTAGCACTCTTTTTCACTTCTTTATTCAGTGCAGTGTAAATTGAACTCAGCTTCTCCTTCTGTTGTCCACCTTGGCATTGAGTCATCTTCTCTTTCACCATCCTCTCTTCGATTAGCTTCCAGGTATCCACTGAAAGCCAAATCTATACATGAAGTGGACCATAGTCAAGTCTAGGCTAGACATACAGAAGTAACAAATGCGTCGGTGGCACAGTGGTTAGGACTCTCGCCGACCATGCACATGGTCCGGGGTTCGATCCCCTGCCGGCGCACACCCGATATCTATGGTTGGCCTGAATTTGGGCTACCGATATCCAAGCTGAAAATTCCACACTTGTACTGAAAATACGGTGTGGAATCAAGCTGTAAATCAAAAAAAAAAAATCAAAAAAAAATTTTTTAAATATAATCTACGAATTAGAAATGATGAAAGCATTTTTGTACAGCATGGCACTTCAAAGTTTCAAAAATTGGTTAAACTAAGAAGTTTATTATGTCGCAATTACATTTTGTATCAAAATAGTGTTTGTCATAAGTCCTGTGGGTATTCCTGGATACTCACATTATCAACACCACTGTCTCTTCATGTAAAGTAGTAAGTCACCAGTATCAACTAAACAAAGAGAAATTGGTGTAGCTGTCATTCAGAGGTATTAGTACTTCGATTAAATTTATCGGTATGTTTTAATAAAACGTTTAACATTTGTCACGAGGTTATTATTAACATAAAGTGGCATTAGTCACATGAATAGTGACATTTTCAAATACGAGAGTCCGCTTTCTATTCTAATTACCATTCCAAAAATGCGCTTAGCTCTATAACTTCTAAACTGTAACACAGTGCCAGTTCGCTCCAGTGTTTTAGGACACTAACTTTTTTCATGCATTTCTTCCTTTTTGTTGTGTAAAAAAAGAACTGCTGGTCAACCGTGTCAGCATTATCAATTGTAAGCATTACAGGATTTTCATAAAGTATAAAAGCCGTAGTGATTTTCATGAATTAAATTTTTTCTGAAGCTTCTAAATATTTTCGATATATATATATATCCGTTACAGTTTCACGCTTGCATTGGCTTATTAGTTAGTGAACATTGGATGGAAATAAACTAAGCAAAGCATTTGATAGTCATTTAGCAATTCAGTTAATCCTAATGTTGATTACAAACTGCATACCTCCTTGAAGCAAAATGTAAGGGAAAACGTTTGTTAAAATACAAATAAACTGTCTCATTAACACCTAGATGCCACTCGCTTAGTTGCAGTATGTTAGCATACTACGAAATTATTCACGTAATTCAAACAAATCAGTCTTTTCAGCTGAATCATTCCAGATACACTGATGATGTAGTGGGCTTTAGACAATAGTGAAAGCCGTCAAAGTACTGCGTCTACGAGCTCCAGTTCCGACGGACAAAGTTCGAAGACAAACAATAAACGGTTACCAGAATAATCTTGATTTTCAAAGGAAGCTGTGGTATAATGGTCACCTTGAACTGTGTAAATATCGAATTAGTTTGTTAATTACGGATTTCATTTCTAGGCATTGTTGCTTTTACAGAGTGGGTTTGCTGGCTTGGCCCATAATTCTCTCTTTTTCAGGCTTACTTACCACTAGTAAATTAGTTGAGGTTAAGGAATGAATGGGCTAGTGTGTGTTTGGCTAGCATTCTGAACGACTGAACTACTTACGAAAGATACACCATTATAAATAATAGTAATAATGACTTAATTAGATAGCATTTTCAACAACAAATTCTGTTTTCTAAATAAAACGAAAGCAATTATCTATCCATTGTCATATATGTTTTCAATTCTTCAAATTTGTATTCATTTGAGAAATTCTGTGGGAGAAGTTTACGTGTATTCTTGGTGTTTAAATAATTTAAAGTTAAGCATTTTACTGTGAAAGTCCGGGTAAACTAATTAACACTAATATGAGTGGAAGAAATTCAAGCCTGCTGGTAACGAAAATTGTACTAAGACAAAAGGTATTAAGCAATGGTTGTAATAATGTTAACACACGTGCTTGAAATTTATAAATAATTGAAAAGATATGAAATTATAAAAAATTACCTAGTAAAGACTGTTTAAAGCAAATATGTAAATGAAGTAACCGGATGAGATAACATTGTTCTAAAAAAAATTCATAGCCAGTTTCATAAAGATATTATTCTAAATGATAATTAACTTTTTCTCAGCATACTAGCTGTTATATTTGGAGAAATAGAGTCCAACTACCTTAAACTGAAAAGTTATTTTCCTCCAACCAAGAAGTTTCATGCAAAGTACTATGTAGAGAGACTCTACGGAAAAAAAATTGGTGTACCTCTAACATCTACTTACTAAATTACCACCTGGGTACATACCCATTAATGAAAAAGTCATATTTAGTCTAACTGTCTACCTTCAACTAATATTCTAAGGAAGAAGATTAGGTATTTGGCACAAAATGTCTCCATGACATAATAAGTAACTTTAATTCACCATTAAATGTTGGAGATTCACCTTTGTATGGTCATTCTGTCATCCTGGTTTCTTGTTTGCTAAAAAGCATCAACAATATTTGTTTGCCAGCTTCAGAACTCTCTCACCTTCTTCTGAAATTAGAGAATTTTGGTAATAAGCGCACCAGGTCACAGTAGGTCTCCTTTCCAGCTAATTTTCACATGCTATTTTTCTGTTCTATGTTACTTTATACAAGTCAAGGGAAACAAACTCTTCTGCTATTGTCGTGATTTCATTTTCCATAACTTTTCGTAGACCTAATTTATATAATAATTTCACAAACGTTCCCACCGCTGATTTGTCAGTTTTCTCTCTGCAGAAATCCGCTACTTGGATAAATTTTTGCTTACACTTGTGATAAATTTGTACTTGGGAATTTCATAAATACTTATGGACGGACACTGCTTTAGGTTCCCAGTGGAACATATGGCTTCAAGCTAGAGGCCTGAAGTTTCGGTAGCAGTGGTATTCATTTTTAAGGGATGGGGTTGCTAACCTCATGCCTAACCTTCCTTCTTTACCAATCTAATTACTGGCTTAGTGAGGTAAAGGAGTGCGTCGGCTGGGGATAAAACTCCGGTCCACATGCGTGATTAGCGAGCATTCTACCGCTGTGCCACCAACGCACGGACACTCACACATAGTAAATATCCAGCCTAAAGTTGACTGAAATTAGCGGCTTGCGACTGTCGAATAAATCTTTGCTGTATTTTCCCATGTAAAAATTATACTAGCGCATCTCAACTGGTAGGTTTTTTCTGTTGTCAAGGGATTTCCTGTTGTTTGTTTTTACTCTCACTTTACATTTCGAAGTATAAAGAGTTATGATTTTAGGATTACAATAAACTGACTGTTACTTATCGTGACTTTCTGTAGACTGTGAGACATTATATCGACTTCCAAACACTCAGCAAATAATAAATTTGAAACGATGTTGTGGTTAAAACACAATTAATAAGTAAATTCTAAATTGTTGTTTGGTCATAGTGTTAACATCGTTCAAAGCTAGTCAAAAGTATTTAGAGAACTTACTGAGATTTTCAATTGTATACTGTGTTTGATCGCCTTGAACTGTATCCTCTGATGGGCCTGGATGCATATCGCCCCATCGAATAACATATTTTGTTCCTGGTGGTAATAATCCCGTTTTATCAATTGAATGCCCTTCACTTTTCATTGAAACAGGAATTAAATGTCTTGGATTAATTAATGAGGTATACTCATAATCTATATTGTCAAACAGGTGTGTTTCACTTTCCATGTTGATTTGTCTTAGTGCTACTGACCATTTTAATTTTATTGAGGTTTGGGTCACAGTTGCGCGTAGATTATGAATCTGTATGTATGTAGGAAGGAATAAACCAAAAAAGAACATTTTATTTACATTAACTTGTTATTAATATTGTCATTTAGCTTGACCCCAACCATTGTCGTTGGTGGGACATCCATCCACACACGTGACATCTAATTGGACCTCACTGGTCACGACTTCTCACTAGAACTCCAGGAAACTCCATCCTGTAACAAGTCACTAGCGACCATCAGATTAATTTTCTATAGTTTGGTTTGTAAGGGTTTGTTATGTTTTTACGAGTTGATCACGGACTGATATCAGTTAGAGAACCATTGAAAACCAGAGAGTACTGGACAGCTACCCTTACAAACCAAACTATAGAAAATTATTCTGATGCTCGCTAGTGACTTGCTACAGGATGGAGCTTCCTGGAGTTCTAGTGAGAAGTCGTGACCAGTGAGGTCCATCCAGTCAGGTGTGGGGATGGATGTCACACCAACGACAATGGTTGGGGTCACGCTAAATCAAGAATTGGTAGAAGTTAGAATTCATGAGCCGTTGAATCGGGTCCCAGTGGCTGAATGGTATACGAGCTTGCCTTGTAACCGGAAGGTCCTGAGTTCGAATCCCAGTGGGTGCGTACTGTCGATGATTGCCAAACTAGGATGAAATAGCAGCTGTCCAGTACTCCTTGGCTTTCAATGGTTCTCTAACTGATATCAGTCCGTGATCAACTCGTAAAAACATAACAAACCGTTACAAACCAAACTATAAAAAATTAATATTGTAAGAAAAATAAAATCAGAATCACTGTAGATTTCACTTCTCCGTTCTGGAGAAAAATTAATTCAATGGAGATATGATTTAATGAAGGATGCATACATCAGCTAGATGTGTAGCATAGTGTCAACCAGATGCTACAAAGTCAAACCAAAGTTCAAGTATGTTAATCAGGTGATTAACTATCATTTGGAGCTACATAGGTCAAAAGGGGAGATTTATCCGAAAATCAGGTACTGAGCATTGGTCGCTTATGACTGATTACCTGTGAATAATCATTTCCCGATCGGGTAGGTGCTCACCACTAGCAACAAACGAATAAGAATTACTGGTTGCATTAACAGAAGATAACGAGAAGAGTTTGTCAAATATAAATTCAATATCTAGACATAACAGTCCGCTTCTAATTTTGTATTTTTGTTAACCCAAAGCCATCGTCAGTTTGGGAAGATGAATGTTCATTATACAACGGTGAGTAGAAGCATGTCATTCGAAGCAATTGTTTGTCAGAGCTGTATTTTCCACGAGACTTCACAGGCATTCCTTTGGAAAAAAAATACTTCTGAGCCATGAACAATGGCCGATTCAATTTCGTGATCAAGAAACGTCGGAGTGGTTGTAAAAGCTGCGAGATATATATATTTCAATGCTTTTGAGTTTTTGAAAATTTGAAAGTCACACTATTGATAGTGGACGGATTTTAGTGTTAATCAAATGTAATCGTTTATTAATTGAACCGAACTGCTTGGCCTTAGTTTGGCATGTTGACTCATTCTGAAGACACCTACAGATGACGAGTCCCAGACAGGCCGAAATTCTCTTCCTTTATTCCACTGCTAGTCGCCATCTACCAATTTATCATCAGATGTATTCATCATTCACAGTAAAGTCAGTCGGTTGTGAACCACGATAAATATTACTATTTTGTATCTGAGTACTTTCAAGTACGAAAAAACTTACAGTACACCGACTTTTCACAATCACAAATGACGTATATCATCATAGTTATATGCAAAATCTAGCATTTCAGGCTATCTTAAGTAAGTGAAATGTATGAACTTTTCAGCCTGCCTTTCAATAGATGTTATTTGTTTGTTTAACATCCACCGAAAATTATTTCAAAGATTCACTTACGCGTGATGGTATAACGTATAAGGGTGAATTTCCACCTTGGTGTTGTTGTTGTTGCGATGAATCAATCCATTCGTCTGCTTTATTTTCATCTTCAAAGAAATCAGCATTTTGTTTCTCCATATTAAATTCTATAGTTGAATCAGTCATTTCTATCGTCTCTAATTCATCTGGATCTATTTTTGGAAGTTCACCACTCGTCTGAAAGTGAATAACTTTCGATGGTACGCCTAATCCACCTCTATTAGTTGCTGACACTTGTACAGTGTAAAAAGTTCCAGGAATAAGGTCTGAAATAATGAAAATAATGAAAACCCAGCTGTGAGTTAATCACATGAAAAAGTTTTTCTTTAACTGTTTGTTGTGTCTATTTTATGACGTTTAAAGAAATCTGAGTAAACAGTGTTATGATATTTTAATTGTGGCACCAGAAGTTAAATAAACAGTCGAAATGTATCGAAAGTGTAATATTTACATATGAGAAATTTTAAGTTTTGTATTACACTTTATTTTTATAGTGTAAACATTTGTTACATAAGATGGATACAGATTATGCAAAAATAGAATGACAGCTAATAAACATGACTAATAGAGGTGACATGGATTCAATTTCTCACTCTCTCTGTCTCTCTCTCTCACTTAGTCATACATCGTTAGTAGAAAATCTTGAATTATTTAGTGTATTGCTGAAAAACGCCTTTCAATATTCGGACACAAAGAAGGATTTTTGTTATTGCTTAAGACAAAGCATCGATAGCCGCTGAGTTTCAAACTTAGTGATCTAGTTTTCCATTTAGCAGATTTATTTTTTTTAATTCTTTATTTTTGATTACAGCTTGATGCCACACCGTATTTTCAGTACAAGTATGGAATTTTCAGCATGCGATATCGGTAGCCCAAATTTTGCAGGCCGACCATAGATATCGGGCGTGCGTCGGTAGGGGGTAGAACTCCGGACCATGTGCATGGTCGGCGAGAGTCCTAACCACTGTGCAACCGACGCACAATGTATTATTGATAATGTCGCACATATTTGACGTTCACTTAAGAAAATTCTTTTTTTCTATTCAGAGCATGTAGAGTTTTCGAATTACCTCAAACTAAATAAGAAACTTAGTGGACTGGACATTTTTACTACCTACCTATAACACCAATTTTACATACTTTTCAGTAAGAAATTCTGTCATGACAAGGAAAAATATATTACGGATAACACAGTCACGAATTTCTTTAGTCATCGAATGCATTTAATTACTGATTAACTCGCGACATTGTTTCGCATGTGGCTGAGTTCTGTACATAAGTAGTTGTCTTGGAAGGAATTAACACAAAAACTTGTGTAAGATTGCCCTAGTATTCATGGACTTACTTTCAACAACATGACTTCTCCTTGATCTTGGAACTTTGATAACCATTGGTTCTATTAGACGAGAAGAATTAATGTTGATTACATAATCTATGAGTTCTCCTGTACAATCTATATCACTTGGTGGGCTCCATGAAATTTTGGCACTTTGTGTCCCACGTGAAGTAACTTTGACCTATTAAGACAACAAGAAGGCGATTGAAACGCAGTTATATGCAATATTCTAATGTCATACACATGTCTTATATTAAGAGATTTTTACGTATCATAAAACATGTATAATATTAGAATAAAATAATGCTACTTACATTTTCAGGAGGAGTTCTTGGAGAAAGTGCTGGTACCCGTGGAGATGATGGCATAGTGGCTGGTGGACTTCTTAAAGCATTACCAACAGCGAAAAGAAGTACACGATAAAAAGTATCCGGTGGTAGTCCAGTGATTATGGCATGGTCAGATGGAGCTGTAATATTGATAACTAATTGACGACTGTGTTGGGCTGACGGTGCCTGATATACAAAATGATCAGTATGGTTATAAATTGTTTTTATTCTAGGACAATGGTCAATAGGACGTTCTGATAATTCATTGAGGCTAAATAAGATTAACCTTTAAAGAAAGTATGCGAAAGAAATTATTTGATGACAAAAAAGAAAGCAAAAATTGGTAGATATCACTTTGAAAATTAATCGTTTAATTAGTATGGTGTTGCATAAACTGGACGCAAAACTTCTTGTTTCAATGGCAGCAGTTTTTTCCTACGATATCAGGTGTAACATATTATGACTACTATTCTGCGAACATCTCCATTTGACTCCGTTCTATAGGGTCTTTTACCACTGGTTTCATGAAACGGAACGCATCTTAAATTCAACTTTCTTATAGATATGAAGAAAGAAAACGAATTAATTTGTAGCAAAACGGTAAAATTAGGAATTAAATCATTACTTCGGTGTGTAATGTTATGAAAAGTTTAAACGACCATAGAACAGAGAATTATCCTTAATGCAGAGATGAAAACAGACGTAAAACTGCCCTAACTGCGCTGAAAACTTCTTCCGTAACTAACTCAAGTGCAAATTACAGAGTTTCACATAACTTTTTATGCCTGCTATTAACGATTTATTGTTCCAGTGAGTAATAATTCACAGATATTAAAATATGTTTACTAACAAGTAGAAGTCGGAATCCGTGGGCCATTGAATCAGGTCCCAATGGTCGAGTGGTCCACAAACTTGCCTTGTGACTGGAAGGTCATGAGTTCAAATCAAGGTGGACACATTCTTCTGAAGAGTCCCAAACTAGAGTGAAACTGACGTCTAGTACTCCCTAGTTTCTAATGGTTCCTCATATTCGACCCACAATTCAAACTGGATGCTTGTCTAATGGTGCATCGGTTTCACTAAAACTTTCGTAAACTGCCTTACATTTATCATTATTACTGTTCTCTTGGGTTCCTAGTGGAACATAGGGCTTCAACTGCACGTCTCTACTTCCTTCTGTCTTCTGCTGTACTTTTCACTTGCACCCATGTGAGTCCAAACTGTTTCAACTCTTCTTCACACGATCTCCTCCATGTCACCCTTGGACGTCCAACTCACCGCTTCTCGTTCGGGTTCCACTCGATGGCCTGACGCGCGATGTCACCCAGCGGCCTCCTCAGCGAGTGTCCAATCCATCTTCACCTTCTCCTGCATATCTGTTGAGCGATTGGTTCTTGTTTTGTTTGTTCCCATAGTTTCTTGTTGGTGTTTCTCTCCGGCCATTTAATCTTGAGTATAGAGCAAAGACAGCTGTTGATAAAGGTCTGCAACAGGCTGTTGGAAATATTCTTTGTGACCCGCCGACAAGTTTTTGATCTGTATAGAAGAACTGACTTGACGTTTGTATTGAAAATCCGAATTTTGTTGTTGATGCTGAGTGACGAAGATTTCCAGATTGGCCTTACATTGATCGACTTTAATTTCCTGTCATTTCACGCGTATATACATATACATATATAAGACTGAATTTTGTATGAATAAAGGTTCCACATTTTCGAAATACGTAAAAAAAAAACAACGACATGTATTAAGTCTTTAACTCTTATTAAATATCCTCAATATATTTTAGTTTTAGTTACTGTATAAAACTTCAAACGATTATTATTCATAAAATGTTTTCAGTCTTTCTGTTTCATGATAAAACGTCAACTTGGCGACTTATCCAACTAGTGTAAAGTAAACAAAACTAATCGACCATGTGTATTATATCCCTTGTCAAAACAAATGAAAAGATTTATGCATCATTTTATTTACTTTTGAATCAAACATATTGTTTATCGCTAAACATATTTCTATATTCAATGGTGATTACAGATGGCAGGAGAACTTATTATATTCTCATTGGTGATCTAAATATTCCCATCAACCTTAATAATCTTTCTGTGACCCAGTTACTGATTCCGTGAGCTTAACCTAACTAAATTATCTTTTGGTGTTATTATATTCACTTAACTGGATGTTCCAGTCGTAGAGCTTCCACTGTGCTTCTAGATAACAGCTTCAGCTCTAAATTCAAATTGAATTGTGCATTCTGAAGGTATTTATTCATGGGGATGTTATTTAAAAGTACAATGAAAGCTCTGCACTTAAATCCTCCGTTTCAATAGACCATCTCATTAGTGATAGTTCACGCATAGTAATTTATGCTAAAATACATAGCACTGTTCTTCAAATATAAAACAGGTTATCAAGTAATGGTGTAACACTTTTATCAGCAGTAGAAAGTCGTTCGCTGAGTATAACAACCATTATGAAGAATGAGTTTTGCATTCATTGCTGAATGGAGGGAACATCCACAGTTCAACTCAGTTTTTATTGAAACTCTGAAACAAATGAGACGTTCAAGCATTTTTATCACAGCCACGATGAATATTATTGTAAAACAAAGAACCAACTCAAGTTTCCAGATAAAAATAACTTTCGAAGCAAGTAAAGTCGCTTCTTTATTCAATATCATTGAAGGTGAAATATAAAACTGGTATGCGACTGGGTTCCAACAAGCAGCCTCTAAAATACTACCCTATCAGATAAGATAAAAGACCTCGCTGCTTAACTGGTCATCAGTTCACCAAGATCATTACCGTTTCTCGTCTCTAAGCTGGTGAAATACTAGACAAGTAATCTGTAGGCTATTTATACGAATCCCTTTGAGTCATAACCCCCTACATCAATATTAGTCTGGGAACACAAAACCATTCCAGATAGTTTTACCACTAATAATATCACTGAAAAACTGAGAAAAGATAATATTGGGCTTAATTTTATGTCTCCCAACATATTCTTAAGTACAAGCTTTAGTAACAAGGATAATTTCCTTCGTTTCCTTCGTAAATATATAAAGTCTATTAATCCTTTTAGATTTTTATTGAGGTAAAAGATTATCTGTTTCAAAATCTGAATAAATATAAGACAAATGGTTATTTCGATAAGACAGAAAATCTTTTCACATCGGCAAATGCTTGTGGAAATAGAGAAATGCCAAAACATACACACAAAGGAAAAGTCAACTTGTTTGAAGTCCAATGTTACTTAGCAACATAGATATGTCATTTTTATAAATAATTTCATTGTTAACTAAGCAGGAATATGTTAATGTTTAGCTAAAAAGGCTATATTTGAAGTTAACTGCATCAGGAAGAAAATGCAATGAGGTAGATTTAAGCTTGTTGAGGCTCTTTAAAATTACTTTCAAAGTAGACTAAGGCAGATTTTAGAAAGCAGAGTTTCCTACTTCCATGACTCTTTCCAAGCATAGGAAACTGGATTTATACTGTTTGTTGATTACTATAAATTTTGCAAAGTCTATACAAGTGTGTTGTGTGGTTGAATCCTTTGTTGTTTCCTTCCTTTTCAAGATGACGTTTTCTGGAACATATTCAACAAAAGTGTCACACCATTAACTTCTCTATGAACATTTTCTATACACTTAAGATATACGTTTAGTTTGACTTTTCCTGTGGGTGTAGATTGCAAATCTTTTATTGACAAAATTGTCGGTTCAACTAACACTAAACACCTTGTGAATCTTTTAAAATAATTTTAGGTTTCTGTCAAACAGAAATTTAATCTGATTTCTTCGAAGGTCTAACTGATGAAAGATACTAAAATTTACTTTAGAGGTCAGTTCAGTTTCAATTTTGATAAATTTTTCAATCAACTTTATTATTTTGGTACTAAGTGTTTATGCGTTGAAGTTTCTGTAGCAATTTGGTTAAGTTCGTCGTACAGCTGTATGACAACGGCACATGTCGAACGATCCACAACGGAAAACTCAGCGAGGCGTTTCGAGTAAACACAGGAGTCAGACAAGGGTGCTTATTATCACCAATGATATTCCTAATTGTGGTGGACTGGATTATGAGTCAGACAGCGGGAAACGAGAAGACAGGGATATCCTGGACCAACGTGAAGAACCTAGAAAACCTAGATTCCGCGGGTGACTTATAATTGATGTCACAAAAAATCGAAGACTTACAAGAAAAAACCGACAAACTGGTCGAAGAAGCCGCAAAGACAGGACTCCAGGTGAACATAGACAAGACAGAGGTTATGAAAATAACCAACCAACAACAACAACAGCAGCAACATCCAGCGCCAATCACCATTAACGGGAGGGATTTGAAAGAGGTTACTTCATTCACTTATCTAGGGAGCATTGTCTCAACTACAGAAGGAACGGATGGACGAGGATGTCAAATCGAGAATCGGGAAGGCGAGAAACACATTCATCAACCTGAAACCAATATGGAAATCTTCGTCACTCAGCATCAACAACAAAATTCGGATTTTCAATATAAACGTCAAGTCACTTCTTCTATGCGGATCAGAAACTTGGCGGCGGGTCACAAAGAATATTTCCAACAGCCTGTTGCAGACCTTTATCAACAACAACTGTCTTCGCTCCATACTGAAGATTAGATGGCCGGAAAGAATCACAAACAAGAAGCTATGGGAAGAAACAAAACAAGAACCAATCGCCCAACAAATATGCAGGAGAAAGTGGAGATGGATTGGACACTCGCTGAGGAGGCCGATGGGTGATGTAGCGCGCCAGACCTGTGCTCGAGTGGAACCCGCAAGGGAAGCGGCGAGTGGGGCGTCCGAGGGTGACATGGAGGAGATCGTATGAAGAATAGTTGAAACAGTCTGAATTAACATGGATGCAAGTGAAAAGTACAGCAGAAGACAGAAGCAAGTGGAGACGTGCAGTTGAAGCCCTATGTTCCACTAGGAACCCAAGGGAACAGTAATAATAAGTGTTTATGCGGATAGTGAAAAAAACTAAAACCGTTTATTCACGAATTATTTCACACTTAACTTAAATGTTTTGTCTTTTATGAAGGAGGATTCTCATCACTGGGGATTCCATAGCTTTACCTTGCAGAAAATACATTTTTAAACATTTCTATAGTGTTATAATGAAGGTTTTTGTATTTCCCAATGAATGAAAAACAAAACGATATTGTTTTTACTGATGTTTCGCTATTTAATACTAATAGCTTTATCAAAGTATGTTTAATTTTTCCAGATCAGTAATGAATCTTTTGACAAGCACATCTATAGAAGAGTTTACATAAATATAAAATCAGGGTGATGAGATATTTTACTGATAAGCTATTAGCTAACTATTTAACAATTATTAACGTGTCGTAATTTGATATAAAATTAGCCGATGAGAACGATTCGTGAATCAAAACTTGTGTAATCAACTTCTAACCCAGGGTAATACTGAGAAGTAATGTGGTTGAATAATGAAGAAGATTGTAAATTTAGGCAATACACTTCGTTATTTTTTTTATAAATTTCAAAACTTTGCCTTCAAATGGTTAACAACTGTTTCTCCTTCAGAACTTTTATTTTCCTTCACGTTCCCCAGTGGGACATAGGGCTTCAAGCTAGTGGCTTGAAGTTTCTGTAGCAGTCTTTATTTTACACGATGGGGTTGCTAGCCTCATGCTCAACCTTTACTCTTCACCAGCATTATTTCTGGCTTAGCGAAGCGAAGGAATGCGTCGGCCGGGGATCAGATCATGTGCATGGTCGTCGAGCGTCCTAACCACTATACCGCAGACGCCTTCCCTCCAGAATTAACCTCAGCTTATCTACTGATCAGCATATTAGACTGAAACAGTTTTGCCTAAATATATCAATGCAACAAAATTGAGTTTCTTAGTTTCTACCATATTGTTAAACAAAAAAGAATTCTAATTTAATAAATATGCTTTAGACAAATAAATATTCAAAAAGACTGTCAATAAGAGACAAACAAAAAACTAAAACAATATTTTGTGGGCAAGTATTTCTCCCACACTTCAATTTCAGCTCTCCTTTCTATTTAAGAATTATAAATACAGAGAGATTTATTTGTTTATTTCAACCTTCTCTTATGAATATTGAAGGGTTTTATGGGTTTTTGGAAAATTAATATATTCAAGAGTTCTGTTTGTCTTTGTCTGATAGGACAGGGATGAATATATGTATATATTTGTTTCATGTATTTATTATTTCAAACTGAAAAAAGAGTTCTAAGGCAAGCTTTTCAAGTTATTGACGTTTACAGTACTTATAATATTGGGTTCAGCACTGCAGCTACTTCAATTTTGCCAGAAGTATTATTAAAATGTATTTGAGTGTTCGTTTAATTAAAAATATTTTAATGTGTCTGCAACCATATTGCTCTGTTTACACAGAGAAGATTGATTTTCTGACCATTGAAGACTTTGTGAAAGACGCCAATTCATGAATACTGTCTATCTGTGTGTGTGCGCGCATAGTGCAAATGATTAGCAGGGTCATCTGAATAGCCTCATTCAAGAGCCTTACTCCATTCTGAAGCATGATTACACTTAGTACAACCATTGGAAAATATCTACCACCTGGCAGATAGAAGTTCAAATCGAATGGATTTTACTGGTTATCTGCAAAATTTACCAGTTAATACATTACAAATTACTATATTTTAAAGAAAAAATGTTAAATAGCTTAGGTGTGGACCAGAATAAAGATATAATTGGTTGAGAAGCTACAAAATAGATGTTACGATCATCTGGAGGCATTTTTTATGTAATCCAACTTGTAAAATACCTAAGTAAAGCGGGCTCGCGTCTCAGTTTTACAACATTTCTGCTTGATAACCAGAGTTATAACCCGTAATATAAATGGTTAGAATTCGTACGAATCGTAGGTGGATACAGATAAGCCTACCGACATTCATTCTCTTGATGAAAGCCAGAAGTAAAATACGGCGAAATGACATAACTATGTGTAGAATGATTACAAAATGTACGATCTAAGAGCTCTGTAACCTTAGAAATTAAGTGAGAAAGTCGTTTAGATGCAATGATCTGATTATGTGCAATGTTTTGGGCTGGAAATGTCATCCGGTTATTAATACTGTATCCCTCTATGTTTTCCTATATTAGTTTATCTAATAAGGAATAATATTCTAATAATGCACCTGTTTACAGCCCCTGCATGAATTATATGTTTGCAAATGATTTGCTCTTACAATGAACCTGCCTTGACACTCTAGTTTCAAAACCCAGAGTTATCTACACATTGGTATTTCTCTTATTTTACTGTTTCCTGTTATCTGTGACTTCGGCCTACACACTGATGAAATACTGACCTTTGCATTTTACATATATATGTATGACAGGTGTGTGATCACATTGTTCAAAATGAGATGTGCAAAAATTTTACACGTGCCAGAAAATGCCACGTCTTTTCATCGTTTTGTTAAAATTCAGAAGTAAAATAACCACCTTAAATAAGTGTTGGTAAAATATGAAGTAAACTAAGAGTTAATGGAAACAGCCTTACATTAAATTGTTTTATTTTGCCCCCTTGCGTTTCAAGTGAAACATACGACTGCAAGCTTAAGCTCCCAAGTTTCAAAAACACTAGCTTTATTTTTATGAAGTATAGTTGCTAACCTGACGCCAAACATCCCACTTTCCCAGCCTCACCGCCAGCTAGGCAAAGGTGGTGTTTGTCAGCCGGTGGTCGAATCTTGGATCAAATGAGTGACTGGGAAGCATTCTACCACTACGCCACTGACACCTCACAGTAAAACGCTCATCTCGAAATTATCCCATTTTTCAACTCAACATCTGGCTATTAAAAAGATCAACATTTTGATGTGGATGTATTCTCTAAGCTGGACAGTCAATTTGCGAAGCTTTCATTGCCCTACTAGGCAACTAGGAACCTTCGAGGTCAAGTTGAAAACTTTCAGAGAAGCTGGAGACAGACGACAATTTAAGCTCAACAGGTAGTATCTAAAGGAAGAAACCACAAAGAGCACCTTCTTTGCAACCATCAGGTAAAAGTCGGAGATAATAATACAGTATCACTGTGGACATCTGTGTCGAAGAACAGTGGAACTATCTGTAAGTTATGCTATAGGAAACGTGTCCGGTGGTCTAAAGAAGAGAGAAAGAGGCAAGAAAAGGAGTGGAAGCTTCAAGACACGTGGGAACTAATATAGGAGAGAGGAGTAGAGAACCAGTACAGAAGTAGACAATGATAAGAGAAACTGAGTTTAGACTGATGTTTTTGATGTGGTTGTGTTCTCTGAGCTGGATAGTTAATTTGCGAAGCTTTCATCACCCTACTAGCTGACATCTTCAGCGCATACTTCAATTTGAAGTAAGCTTTTAGATTTCTCCACGAGTTTATTAGTCATCTTTCCTGGTGACATTGAGTATAATTAGTTGTGTTTGTGTCTTCACACACTTGTATTGGAACTGATTGTTTCCTTGACTTGAACTTTGACCCTTTGTGTGCAAGATTTTCTTCTTATCAGTTGGTGAATTTTTTACCAATAAACAAAACCACATCAAAATCATCCACCTGAGCTACAAATCTTCTCCATCATATCTAGATCAACATTTATAAAAGTCTAAATGATTATTTGCAGATGATATCATGCAAAATAAATTTAAACCTTCCCTTATTAGCTAATCATATCAGTTTTTAAAGTGTTTCTTGAGATCCAAACTTCAACAAAATAATTTAAAGTATGCCTAGTGATGACTGCATACAGTACTTCAGTGGAAGCTTTCGAGATAAAACATGAACCATGTGTGTCTTGTTATTATATACACACCAAGGTATGTTACAGCTTCTGATCACCTTCTTTGCTACAGAAAAAAGAACCGAATTACTCTTTAAGTAGGAATGATTCATCACACATATACTTCAAATATGAACTAATTCTTTTACCAGAAACTGAACCTATGAATTCAAAATAAATACATTTATATATCTGTATTTGTAAAGAGTACTTGACAGTAATGAAACATCAATCCAGACAATGCTGCCATGTGGTTTCCTAATTAAGCAGAGTTACGTCTTTGTCTAAAGAAGGGTAAAGTAACAATATCCATTCGTCAGACTGATACATCTGTTGATATGTAAACAAATATACATATACATTTATATATTCATATGTTTAAAAAATGGCTTCATTTCACTGGCCCTTCTTTTTCGTTTTGTAGCACTAATTAGTCTAACAGAATACTGTCATTATTAGGCCAAGAAATAATTATGGCACCTTAAGAAAAATAAATACGTCAATGCAAGACCTTTAAGATATTTCGTTTATAAAATACCTAATATCATAGCAAGTAAAGCATTTGGAATATATACATGTATATATACATATATATTGTCGACATACGATACATTATTTATTCCCTACAAACATTAGATTTTCTATCTGAAATAATTTGGTGAATGCTGATCAGCAGTGGAATCAGGGATGTTCATTTTGTCATGTTCGGGAATAAAGTCACTCACTAAGGAATACAAGTACACGCAGACAAAGATTTCTAAATAGGACGACATGGGCATCCTGGATTTCATTGCTGGTCACCATTCACTAAATTATTCCAGTTTAATCCCAAGATATCGTCGTAGCATCCGCTCAAGGAGCCCATATATCAACAGCGGCTGAACATTTTGGTCTAATCAATCAACGGGAAAACTAAAATAGAATTAGATCAAGTTAGTCAGATTTTACTTCGGGTTCTTAATCCAAGGTGAATTCTGGATCTTCAGTTTTGATATTCGTAGGTTGGCATCAGCAGATATTTCAGTGGTTTTAGAATAAATGGTTAAATGTTGTCTGACAGTTAACTTTATAAACGCAAAAGACTGTTCAGGCAAATCAATGAAGAATCAGACAGGAAGAAACACGAAAATTAAGCAAATGGATTTTAAAACAAACAATAATAATTTACAAGTAAAAAAGAAACCTTACTCATAGTGCGTTATAAAGCGTTCATTTCTTCTAGCTGGCATCCATGATATGTTTAAAGAGCCAAAGTTGAGAGGTACTATTTGTAAGTTTCTTGGAGGTAGAAGCTGTGAACTCATAGGTGAGTATAAACCTAGTATAAAAGATTAGTGAAAAATTTAAACCAAAATAAATATGCCTGAGTTAAATTAGACCTTAGACAGACGCTTTAAATCTTAAACATGGCATAAAATAGTCTCTCTATCTTCACTCGAACTGTTTGTATAGTGTAGAAAAGTTGTAGTATTCAAGCTTAGGATTTCATTAAAGAGTATGTCAAAATGAGTTGAAAACGGTGTTCACTTGCACATTATTTTACGTTGTGTAGCCCAGAGATTTCAATTATTATGCTACACAGAGATGATAGTTCAGCTTTAACGTCATATGAGTTAAATAACAGAATGAATCGGTACATTCCTACAGGAGGTCAATCGCAAGCTCGAATAACTCAGTGGTAAAGTCTCTAACTGCAGCACTTGGTGACCTGGGTTCGAATCTCAGAAGGGACATGATTTCCTTCAAGGTCGCCGATATGCACTGCTGATGAGTGCCAGCTAGCACGAAACCTTGGTTCAAGGCCTCCTGCCGATTGCCTCCAACCAACTGATAGGAATGAATCATGAATGATCACCGAAAATTGCTTTGATAATTCAATCAACCCTACTACCTAATATTAAGAGCTGAATGCTGAGAAATGAAAGCAGAAGTCTATTTAAATGGGATATTTTACAGAATTCAAAAAAGAAACTGCCGCTCTGTCTCTTGCTAATGAGTAATATAAACTTATTATATGTTGAAAATAAACTACAAGATTGAAACTGTTGAAAAAAATAAAGCTTTATTGATAATATTCTAAAGCATCTTGTACTATTCTTCTAATATTTTTTTCACAAATATTTTGTTGTCTGACAGAAAACTGAGATCGAGAGGCTATTTTGAGGACCTAACTTATATTTCTTTTCTTTGTTCAAAGGTAGAGATTTTCAACAGGAATGAGTTACGAAAACTATGGATGATATAATTTGTAAATCCTAAGAGTTTTAGTATGCTGTAAGAAGGAAATCCTTAAATTTCAAACCACGGGTTTCAGATTAAATTCAATTTGGATTTTCCCATCGTTTGGTTGCACTGAAGTGCTCGGTTTCAAGTTGAAACGTCGGCTCCCTGTGCAGATGCTTCGACGATGTCTGGTCACGTAACTTGAAGTCATTTGGTTGATGGTGAATAGCAGTGGAATGCTCATTATGGGTCTCAAAGTTAAAATTCATATGTTATTACAGTGAGTGATAATTTCACGCATAAGCTCAGCGAACCCGATAACACTATATAGAGAAGTGTTCGAAAGTACTTGTTGAAATGATGCATAATGTGTTCAAATCTAAGGCTGCGGGTAGAGGAAAACATCACTCATCAAAGATGTAGGTGCATCCAGTTGATGAGCCCGAAACAGGATTCAAAGTGAGTCGCTAATTTCACCGCTAGCCACTTCGGACGAAGTCAGTTATAGTAGTATGACGAGAACACTTCGACCTTTAATCAGATTTAGAATATTAAGTATTAGGAAGCTGTATACACATTTTAATTGAAAATTATTTCCTCGGAAAATCAGGCAGAAAAAAACGCTTAATATTCGCAAATCCGGAAAACCTCAGTACATTTCAACTACACCCTTTTTTGCATCCTAATCAGTTTTATCTAAATATAAAATATCTGTATAGAAAGAAAAAAGTAATATTAAGCTCTTGCTCTTCGTATTACTATTATTATTATTTCCAACTGAAATCAGTAATTACTAATTCATACGTTTTGTACCAAAAAGGATTGTTGACAGCCTTGATGACGACAATAAGGATGATTAATGATTAATTAACGTGTTTTAGAAGAATAACAATCATAATAATAATGATAACATTGATACTGATGTCATTATAACCTGTATTAATATTTACCATACCAAAAATATAATATAGAACAATTGAGAAATTCTTAAAATAAGCAGTGAATAATGATTTTTGTTTCAGTGTTCATAAATATGTGTGTATAAATATGCGCATGCATAATTTCGGAGCACCTATCTGTAATTGTTGTATAGGCACATATCATATACCGGTAGAGAGAAACGGAGAGGAAAGCAGCGAAGTGTGACTTCTGTCGAAATAAATGGTCTAATATATGTACATAAGTATACATATATATATCCATATAAGCGTAGCAATTTTTGATATACCTCTATTATTAACACATATTCCCTTATTAAAATTATAGAGACCTTAGAAATCCAAATTGTCATTTAAATGATAACAAGATTTTGTAGCTTTTGATGCACAGAAAGAGATTATACAAACGCTAGTTTCTTTATTCTCGCTTTCTATAAAACCCTATTTTGTCACATTTATTACCTCTCTAAAAAGAAAAGAATTTGAAACAAGCAACAAGTGTTAGCAAAGCAACACTTTGGTGAATACATATATCGAATGTCGGTCGAACCTGTTCAGTTAAATCCTGTGCGTCTATCATATTTTCCTTGCATATTGGACATTTATTTAAAAAAAACAGTAAGTATAGCATTATGCTGATGTGCTCTACAGAAATTTGATGAATTCACATTTACATCTGTCGCTTCTTTTTCTCAACATTAACTGATTTGAACTGAATTTTGAATGTAAGGTCAGCAGTTCAAGTCACCACACTTCGTAAAAGCATACATGAATTTAGGGAAACGGGAAAAAAAAGCATTGTTATCAACATAAGTTGGCACCGGGAAGAATAATTACATGGAGCATAATGAATATTTATTAAATTTATTTATTAAGAAGTGACTGTCCTTACATCACTGGCAATGCTTTTTGACACACTAAAAGAAGTCTCCAGATGTCTTTTTGTAGTGTCTCGATGGCACCGCTAATAAACCTACACTTCCATACGTGGCTAAAACTAAAAGTCAAATACATCATTGACTGATGCTATGTTTCGTTTGACTACTGTGAGTTCCTCGCCAGCCAAATTCAATGTCAGCTAACATTTCTTGACAAATGAAGTTAAGATTTGGCGGACGTAACACATGTCCTAGATATTCCACTCGGTGCAGCCTTACATTCTTATCGAAATTACAATAGTTTATTCTTTTTTTCCGAGAACTCTGTCGAAATGAATTTCTTTGTTATAAAGTCTGTTTGATGATCATAATTGCTGGAATCACACCATCCACATTCACATATCAACGACTCAACTTTTCAAATGGAATGATAACAATGAAAAGAAGGGTAGACTGGTATAAAATTCTTCAATGTTAATGCTTAGTGTCATTCAGTTTTCACCTTAACTTGTATTTCCCGTCGACTGACTATACTGGACGGAAATCCTCGTTCTCAGCTCCTAGTAGTTGCTCTTTGACAATAAATAAGGATTAGCATGAAATAATTTTGGATGATGGTGACAAGCAGGGGAATACAGGATTTCTATTTAAAATTCTGTTCCTTAGACATAGTCAAAGCCTCCCCACTAGAAGCCAACCTTTCAGCGGAATCTGAGCTTTCTGCCCAACATATTCAGTCAACGGGAAATGCAGATTAACCTTTAAAGATGATATCCAGTAACTGTTGTAGCCCTCGTCGTCCAGAGGATAATGCCTTGGAGACTGGAATGATGGTTGCAGAGTTCGAGTTTTAGCAGTAACACTAATCGCTAGTAATGCAGGGTCATCCAGTTGATGAGTCCGTAATGGGACAAAATGTACACCCTAGATTCTACTGCTTGTCTTAGAACAATACCAATCATCTGATAAGAACTTTACAAGCAGAAACTAATAATACGAAGATAGACTTCCTTTGTAAAGTAGTTATTGAATATGCTCAAGGAAGATAAACCACCTAAGCTTCACTTTAGTTCTACCTTCAGCGATTACTTTTAAACTATAAACGTAAAGTAAAACTGAAGAGGCTAGCATGAATCGACTTTTGTCTCACTATTTTTCCTAATGAATCACTTAGAGTCGCTTGGTCCAATGGTCAGGAAAGTACTACAGATTACTAATGTTAACCAGGTACATTAATTCTCCTATGTTACTGCAACTATTGTAGAATAATAGTACAATACAAAGAATTCTGTAGGTGGCAGTCACCATTATTATTGATAAAAACAAGTGTATGCATAAATGACAAATCAATATACGTCGATATCCACTGTCATCAATAATGCATATTTGAAAGAAAGCAGACAAACAGTTATAACCGTTATACAATACACTTTCTTCTCCGTTGTTAAAATTTGTCATTTTCTGATTAGGTTTGCTATTATGTTGCGTAATAATGTCAACTTTTAAAATATTTTTCTGCTTTTAACATTGGTTGCCTTTTTAACTGTCACTGTTGATAAGATGAATTGTTTTTTCGCAATGTAGTTTTGAAAAGGAGGAGGAGCAGGAGAAGTAATTAGAGAGGAGACAAAAAATTTGTAGACGTTTTGAAAAAGAACCCTTGTCACGCACAAATCGATGAATAAATGATAGCGGATACAGCTGGGAGATTTTAAGTTCAGATAGATGTTGTTTTACTGGATTCGCATTATGATGAAAACCTTAACTAGGCTGATGCTCAAAGCTGAAATTAAGTTTTGTTATGTTCAGCTAATTTCACCTCAAGTTTGCTTATAGCTTATGCTTTCAATCACTCTCGGCCACATGTGTATTTCCCACTGTTTCTGAAGCCTGAGTGCTGACTGCTTTCTAAATATTTAGATTCGCCGATGGATGTCCTCTTTGTCACAGACTTCTAAAACAGCTGTATTCACTATCACTTACTTTTGTTTTGACTGTTTTTCTGAGACCGTAGAGGCTCTCTATTAGCAATTTGTCTTTTATTAGTGTTATGATATTCCTGTGGTATCATTGTTGTGGTGGTTGAGGTTGATATACACCTCGTCAAGTCGTTAAGTTTGTATCACTCTCAGTCTGCTCAATCTCACTACTCATCATGTAAAATTTTCACGTAACAATTTCAAATCGTGGATCTGTTTTACCGAAAACGGCTACGTGATCGATCTTCCATTTTCTTATGATACAGTTGAGTTTTCACACACTGGTAAACGTTCTTACAGTAACAGTGTGCCTGACAATTGTCTTCTAAACAGAATTAAGTCAATTTCATCAGTAGTGAGAATTTGACAGTAATTATTGATCGGCAACTGACTTGTTCCGCAACGATCTACTTGGCTTCATAGAGCATTGAATTCAGCAGAATAAATCATCTGAAAATTCATCCTGAACACTTTATATACAATACTGATACTTATTTGAATACGTCAACTTATTTTTCAATAATAATTGCCTTTATCACCTGACCTTTGTCATTGTCCTAACACTTACCTATCTACGTTTGACCTAGTCCTAGTTTGTTTTCGGCTGATTTTCATTCATAATTTTTCAGTTTGTTACTGTGTGATGATGTTGATAGAGATGTGCTGTATTACTTTTGCGATTTTGTTTCAGTGCACTGACTACATGCCCTTGAACTCTCTGCGGGAAACGTATTCTGTCCTTTTCTGTTTGTTTCTTGCAGAGAGAGATCTGATCTCATTTTATTGGGCATCTTCTGGTTAGTCTTCAGGAATTTCCCAGCTGTGATTTGTTAATCAGTTGCGTTGAGTAGTACTCATTTTACACTTGAGAAACTTTTGGGCTGCGAAGCTGCCATTCGGTGCTGTCGAAACAAGTTATTAATGCTTAAAAATGCTACAGATTCTGTGATATAAATCGTATTTTTGATATACCTAAGAGATAAGTTTTGATTGTGCACGACTACAGGATGTGTGGAGAGCTACTTTCGAACCAGTAATGGTGACTGTTATTCACAGATCTCCAGGTTTATAAATATCAACTTTATGTAAAATAACTTTATTTTGCAATATTTATTAGTTGAATGAAATGTTTCTCATAGCCAAAATTGTGTAGAGTAGGGCACCATTAAAAGGCTTGTCCTAAATAAATCGTCAAATATAGCAAAGTTCAGTGTAAAAGGGAAATAATTTGCTGACATCAAAGATATGGTCCCAGGCCGTATGCGTAATTTCAAATGTAGAACTCCTAAACTACAAGGCGCCGGAGATTTTAGAATGCGTCCCATTAGTGTATAATTTAGGAATAAATAAATCCCATTTACAAAAAAAAAACACGCACAATCAAGTTTCCTTCAGTTGTGTTACGACGTCACTTGTGTAACTATGTCAACTGGTTAGAAAAAAAAAACAGCCAAAACAGTTATGCTTTTTATATTGTGTGAAATAGTTATTAGTTAAATATAAAACCAAAGTATCATTTTTTTCTTCTCTCACCTGTTGTCTGCATTTCAGAATTTCTTTTATGTCTAACACGGTTAACTGGTTCAATTCTAGGTGCACTGGAAAAGAAAACATTTGAATAAAAATTAAAAATATATAATTAAAATATCCGTTTCATTCATGCATTATTTCAATTCAATAACTATCTCAAAGTTATACTATTTTATTTCTTTGGGATCAAGTGAAGTGGAAAATCAAGTAAGTGTGGAGATCAAATATATTTCTAATTTTTAGTGACTGAGGCCAGTAACAATGCTGTTAACTAAACAGGTTACAACATAGAAGTAGTGACTTGAAACTGAGGACCTTCTGGTTATAAGGCCAACTCATGGACCAGGCCTTGTAACCAGAAGGTTCTGGGTTCAAACCCTGGTGGTGGGTGCGTACTGATGAAGAGTCCCACAGCACTGGGACGAAACAGCTGTGCGGTACTCCCATGTTTTCCAGTGGTTCTCTAACCCATATCAACTCATGATGAAACCATGTAACCAATCAATCAAATCCCTACAAACCAATAATTGAAAATGAATTTACTTATTTATTCATTTGTTCCTTTCGTCCTAACAAATGATACATTTATGTTGGCAATATGCTTTATTCTTCATAGAGGAAAACCTTCAAAAATTTACATGTGTTAAGTCATTTCTACAAGTTAGTGAAGAATGCGTCATGATGTATGAAGTGGTTGTCTCCCCTACGCTTATTTTCCACTCATTGAGAGTGAATGAAACTATAAAATACAAATTTCTCTTTTGAAAAAAATGGAATTTTAAGGAAAGACAAGTCACTGTCCATAAAATGTACTAATCCCTCAGCGAAACAAAAACAGGAAAAGTCTCTGGAAGCGTGCATAAATTTTACAAGACTTAATTCTTTTACATCGAGTATCATATCATAAACATCTGGTCAAATGATTTTCGTTACATTTGAATAACTTTTAGTATTCTGTTTGTTGCACATGAGTCAGGTAATATCAGATATTTCGCTACAGGAGTCCTACCTTAGCCTGTTTATATATAAAAGTGAATTTTTGTGCCTCTAAAACCTAAGCAGTATATTGCGTGCAATATTGTGCACACACAATGTGAAACAAGTTGATGTGATTTCAGTGTCTTTTTGGCTACTGTTAAGCACTTGGTAATTTTGAATGAATACATATTGTTAGTGAATTTAGATGACTTTAAAATGCTTGAATATAAAACACCGGGACATGCAAATGAGAAAAAGAGGTGTCTTAATAACACTGATATAAGAATAAAACTTGTGCACTGTGGTAGAGTGTAATTCCATTATGGGTAAATTTTGTTTTGATAAAGTCTCACAGTGTTATACAGTAATGTTTACAATCTAACATAGCTAATTCTCCTTGCTCATTTTCGGCTTCAAATGTGAATTTTATTCTCTCCACTAGTGAGTTTATGTGTGTCAAGAAGCTAGAGATATGTTCTGTTTTTAACACTGTGAAAGTGTCGTCCACATATCTCCACCATATTTTTGGAGTAGGATTAAACGTATTAAGAGCCAAATTTTCCCAGCTATCCATAAATATATCTGCTACGGTAGGGGATATTGGTGATCCTATTGCTTCACCTTCAGTCTGTCTATATATTTTGCCTTGGAATTTAAAGATAGTAGATGTGAGGCACAACTGAATTCCTAAAATAATTTCATCAATGGGTGGTTTTGTCCTATAAGTGAGTTCAGGGTCTGCAGTTAATTCTTTTTTAACTGCTTCTAAGGCCTTGTTGTTTGGTATGTTAGTATAAAGACTGGTTATATCAAAACTTACCATTGTTTCATCATTCTCTAGTTGAATGTCATTGAGTTTATTTTTCACTTCAAATGAATTAGCTAGTCTAGAGTTTGAGCGATTTCTAATGGGGCATAATATTAGAGCTAAGTGTTTTGATAATTCATAAGTAGGAGTATTCCTAAAACCTACTATTGGTCGTATGGGGTACCCTGGTTTATGTATTTTAATAGTGCCATACATTCTACTAGCATTATTAGTTTTAGGAATTAAATCAAACCATTTTGAGAGAGAGAATATAAGTCATCTACAGTTATACCATATAAAGAGGGGACATCTGAGACCCTACGTAGGGTTCTAAATAAAGCAGGAATTAGGGTGGCATTTAAACCTACAAACTAACTCAGGGACAAGCTCTGTAGGTTAAAGGACCCAGTTCAACCAATTAGACAAAATAATATAATTTACAAAATACCCTGCAATGACTGTGAGGTCAACTACATAGGTCAAACTAGTAGGTCAGGGGTAGTCAGATTGTCAGAACATAAGAATTTAGCTAAGGTAAGAATGGTTGACCCAGAGAAGATAAGTAATTTAGAGAAAAGCTCGGCAATTGCAATGCATGCATTAACGCACAACCACACAAGAGGGTGGGTAGGAGAGGGTTAAAATTCTAAAAAGTAATCTAGGTAGGTGGAGAGAGAGGTTGATTACTGAATCTTTGTTCATCGAATCTACACCCAACACATGCAATAGGAATGAATCATCACTCATACCCGAAATATGGAAAATATTACTACCAATCAAATCAAGTGAAAAACAATGGAACTATATAAATGAATTTAGGAAGTCGTGTGATTATCTTGATATGATTATGAGCAATAAATTGTGCTCGAAACGTCATCAGTAAATATTACTGTATAACACTGTGAGACTTTATCAAAAAAAATTTACCCATAGTGTCTTAATAACTTCCCTTCAGAGATGTACACTTATTTAAGGGTTTACACATGTATATTGTTAAATGACAAAGAGGTCAGAGTGATTAGTGTCAGTTAGTGACAAGGATGGATCAAAGTATCTGAGGTGTAGTAATATGTGAAAATGAGTGAATAATCTAATGTATTCATGAAAAATGAATAGTTATTTAGAAGTGACTAATGGGAAATACGAGAACAATTTTGATTTCTCCCTTGATTAACTGGACTTAAATGTTCCGCCTCTGTTGACATGTCGCCTCCTATTACGGATGCTTCGATGATGTCTTGAGATTAACTTGGATTAATTTGGTGAATGGTGACTAGCAAAGTAATCCAGGATGTGCATTCTGAGTCTCGGTGGAAACACCACTACTCAGTGCAAATGCAGGTACATCCAGATGGCCAGTCCCAACTAGGACCAAATGCGTATCCTGGATTCCGCTGTTAATCATCATCCTACAAATTACTTCAAATCTTCATCAAGTTGAATAGTTTGTAAAAATAATTCATTAGAAATGTTAAACCCATTATTGTGGAAGAGTCCATAAAAAACTAATGGCGGAAACAACTGACTTTCATACTGATTAGTATAAGTAGTTTTGTGGTGAGAGCTGTCTACCAGCCAAATTGGTAGACAGTAATTTACGTCAATATTTACGTTCCCAAGATTTGTCGTGAGAAAATGTGAACACAGATTGATTCAAAACCGACCACAGCAGACTTTGCGTAGGCGGATGCAGTTAACATATAGAGGATTTGACATTCAAGAAACAGTCACAAATAGATGAAAGATTAACTTTACGTGAGAAACAACCAATCGGAAGACTGTGTTTGTTTGCTTAAATATCCATAATAATGTACATGAAAATATATAAATATGCGTTGATTTCCTTAATAAATGATCTGTTGCCTGACTCTTGCCTTCTGTCGTTACAGTTTCACCTACTCACACTTATCAGTAGTGCTTGATGAGCAGACCAAGGTGACCTAAATACCAAAAAGACATTTGGCTCGTTAGTGGCCGAGCTTATCATGCTATCAAGCGATACTGTTTACCAAGAATGGTCTCCTACAACTACTCATATACGTCAGTAGTATATGTTATCACAATATTTCACTTTATTACATGACTGCTGTCATTGACATCAAATGAATAACATGTTATGACTTAAATATTATTGGTTTCCAAAGGAGAAAAAGTAGCAGTAAAATACCATAACAGTATATGATCTACAGAAGCCGAATTAGATTCTATCAAACAACATAAAGATGGCCAGAAAAGATCAGCAACAGAGATCTCTGGCAATGAGCGAACCAACCAGGAGCCGATTGTGAAACAAATAGGCAGGAAGAAATGGAGATGGATTGGCCATACTCTGAGGAAACCATCAGGTGACATCACTAGACAAGCCATAGCTCGAGTGGAAACCGAAAGGGAAGCGGCGAGTTGGTCGTCAGTGCAAGGGTGACTTGGAGGAGGTCATGTGAAGAGGAGATGAAAGCGTGTGGGCAGACTTGGAGCCAGGTGAAGACTTTAGCAGAGAACCGAACGCAATGGAGACGTGTGGCTGAAGCCCTATGTTCCTCTAGGAATTAAAAGAAACAATAATAATAATAAACAACATAAACATTCATTTGTAGTCTTTTCGGCCCCCTAGAATTTAACATGCATGTAGTTTTCGCACCCTATGATGTGGTACTATAATAAATGCTAATCACTGTGCTTCAGTGTACTTTCGTTTCTGGATTTTGTTAAGTATCTACTCTTTTTATGAATCTACATGTATGCATACATTTGTCCGGTACATTTTAAACGTTAGTATTTGGTTATTGTCTCAGAATTTTGTAACACTGTGTTTATTAAACTTCACCGAGGCGTAACATTAGTTCAAAGATTACATTAATGTGTCCTTAATCCCAGCTTTTGCTGAAATTTCTTCACTTGTAAGAAAAATAAGAGTATTGTGGTAATAACCACATCTTTGATCATAAATTTCATTGGGTCACACCGAAATTCACGGCTTGAACAAAAATGAAGAATGTAAATTATTCTTTTGGATAATAATGTACGTGCCTCAGTGTTTGGATAAGCCTATTTAATTAATGTTGTTACTTAAGAAAAAACAATAAAGCGAAAGCGACTGATATATCTGATCGCCAGTGTAAGATACTGTGACTATCACCAAACTATCGAAATTTTTGAGCTGCTCAACGTGATGTATGTATTCTGTCGTTAAATGACCATAATATCTGATTCTTCAGCTTTCCTTAGAACTTTAATATCTGAGCAGTTTACAGTGAAGCTAAAAAATGCAGTAAAGTAATGACT